GGAATTTTGATGACTTCCACGCGACGACTCCGCTTCCAACAAAAACTCACGATAGCGTCGCTGCGACAAAATTGTCCGTCCAGGCGTTCTACGGCTCAGGCCGCAGATAGAATCTCGGACGTTTTTTCTTCGCTTCCTAACTCGTTCGTGACAAAACGGCCATTATGAGTCTTGAGCGGACGCCTCGCTTATTACTTTTGTCTCGTGAAATGGACTGTTGAGCTTCACTGACCGAGTCGACGCCGAGCGCCTGTCCGCGCGTCCGACGCGTCGGGGGTACGAACGGACAGATCGACGGCGAAATGAACAACGGCAAACACTCGAAGACCGGCAACAAGGCCGTGGGCAACGGCGGACATTGGCGTCAGAAGCACCGAGATTGACAGCTTCTGGCCTCGTACCTTGACATCCGTCCGACAACCTTTCAGCATAAGGTTCCGATGAAGCTGCCCGTACGTCGTCGTGGTGCCGAAGGCGATGGTGTCGGTGGTGGTGCCGTTCGAGTTCTGACTGACTGAGAGACCGGGAGCTTCACGCCTCTGCTGACAAAGGTTCTGATGCGAAACGAATTGTGACAGCTAGAATGGGGGAGCGAGTGCGTAAGAGAGAAAAGTGCCAAAGTAATCTTGTGCCGAAGCCATATTTGATATCGTTAGTTCGGTTCTCCTCTGCTGCATCGAAATTGTTCAAATTGTCATGAATTCATGACCGGGCCCGGCAGCATGCGAATCCGAGTCGGGGCACACACGCATCATTTTCTTCTCAGCCGAGTCTCAAAGACCCTCCAATTGGAACAGGTGCGCCGGCGGCGGTGGTGGTCGAGAGTTTCAACCGGTCTTCCGTCTCAAGGGAGTTCCGCGACTTCGGTTTCATCAAGGCGAATAACGGAGTTACGTATGTATATCCCTTAGTGGTAGAGAAGACCCCAACGAGCTCGGAATACTTCATGACGCTCTATTATAACCACAATATAGAGCTTCGTTCCTCGAAATTTATCGGCACTAGCACGCATGGCGTTTCAAGAGCAGCGATTCGGCGTCGCGACGTCAGGATCGTATCGTCCCGGGAGAAAATTAACCTGGACATAGATAAACTCATTGATGGTGTCGTCCCTTCATTTTTCCTGGAGCGTCTGTCGAAATAGAAGTCGATATTTCCATTCGTGGAGATGGTCGATCGGAAGGATCACTTGTCAAGATGTACCCGATATCAGATTTCGTTGGGGAGAGTCCGAGACACGCATCGAGAAAAGTAGACTTTCGTTCAACAAAAATTCTCTCCGCGTCTTGATTACTAGGCTATCAGGTCCATATAAGGATATAAGTATACGACTCCTCCAAGACGATCTAGGTATTCGGCTCTTCAGGAGAAGATACAAATATCTCGAGTCCGGGGCGCTTCTACCGTTGTTTCCGAAGGAAATAATAGGGACCGGAGCCATGGTTGGCTCGCTAAACCGAACAGGGTGGGAAACGGAAAAAACAAATTCCGAGCAAATCAGACTTTGAAATACTCCAATTTGTTTCTATCACGAGCCGATCGGTACGAAAAGTGTTTACCTAAGCGATTCCTGGACCTCACGAGAACGGCGCAGCGTTGCGAAGGACCTGCGAAGAAATTGAAAGCAAAGTGACGCGACAGATTGCAACAGTTATTTTTTCCGTCACGGAGGCATCCGACCCGACGAAAGCGACTGTTGAAAAGTCGCGTACGGTTCCCACGGTACTAAGAACGGTATCCTGGAGGCAGCGACGCGGTGGATCGCAACAATCGACCAGCAGCTGCCTACAGCACCTGACGTTCCTGTCGAATGGCTGAATGCTCTTTCGAAAATCAAGGTCTGCTCCGTTTGACCGTAACGTCAGCAATCGCTGATCCTGGCGAAGATGACGACGACGGCGGGACCTTTTAGTTTTGCGTCAGGGCTCGCGGGAGCTGTTTCTCAAGGAGGCGATCGAACGGATTAAGGGATTGTTGATTTTTAGTAGCGTTTGTTTCCGTCTGATACTCACTGAGAGTGAGGCGAAGCGGAGGGACTAGACAGACTTCTTGAAGAAATTGTGGAATCAGACCACCACCGCAGTTTCAGGGGGCCGAGCGCGACGCTCACTCACTTCGTTCTGCAAAGATTAGCTCGGAAGCTGACAGAAAGAACAGACGAACCGAAGAGCGGAGATACGGCGGAATCGTTTGCTGCTAGAGCGGGTTAATACGTAGCACGACGAGTGCGTGGGTAGTCGTGGTAGGCCACACTTGAACTGGACAAAATATGTAGGATTACGAGATTGATAGCGGGCATTGTAGCATTGACACCAGCGGCAGCGTAGAACAGTGTACTTGAACGGGAACGAGAAGAATTTTGTTTCGCACCAGCCTAGGATTCGAGTGGCTTGTCAATCAAGCGAGCTTTACTTCCGGCTGCTCAAGAATACAAAGGTCGGATCAGTTGCGGTAAATCCACAGAAAACTGCTTCATTTGCGAATGGAGTCAACGCTCTCTCTCTTGTCGGATATCGTGTGAGGAGTCTCTGCGGGTCAGATTCCCCTCTGTCCGAGCGTCCGTAAGCTGCGATTGTTTTACCTGAGCGAGGAAAATTGAATCTTCTCCGCTGAAAACAATCCGATCACGAGCGACTCTCCGCAGAACCAATTGTCCTTGGTCGACCCTTTGCGAAAGCGGAGATCTTCCAAAAAACACTGCAGAATGACGAGGAAGACGTCGACGTCCCGGAGGAATGGCGTCCCCCGCGGGTATATCGAGCGAGCTCCACTTATCATCGTGGATATTATGATCATCGAAGCGGGGGATTCCGCCGCGCCGTCGCCTCGATCGTTCCTTCCAAACTTGATCCTCTGATGAGCACATTAGGCGGTACGACTTATCACGCCGGTAAACATTACGTGCAGGATGAGAATATTGATGTGAGAATAGAAATGACAAAACATAGATCGGGCGTTGCGATCTTGCGCCGGACGACTTGTCTGGCTCGATTGTCGGTCGGTCAGTCGAGCTGGTCTGTCAGCCAGCCAGTCAACTAGCGGGCCGTGAGTGAGTGAGCGAGGAAGGAAAATCGGAAAGAAATGTGCCTGGCCCCCGTGTTCGAAGATCTTCATCCTCTTCAGGCAACACAATAGGATTATAAGTTGCGCCATTTACCTCTCCGAATAGCGTGCTTCTCCTGTATCTATTTGTTGTCCGTTTGTTGAGGAATTGACCCGTTGCCTGGCCGCCTGCGCCAATGGGGTTGGGACTTGTGGCGACTCGGCTAACGCTTGCCACCGGGTCGACTGGATTGGACAGCTGTTCGGTCAATCGATCGACCCTGCGGCAGGTCGGTATTCGGGATGTTTGAAGGAAGCGAAGGGAGCGAACTTGAGGATTCAATTATTTTTCCCCGCCCCGTTCCCCCTTCCGAGTCCGATAAGGACACAAACTCGAGCAGGTCGTAGCCCTTGGGGCCGGCTCGGCCACGAACGTAGGAAGAAATCGCCCGCCCTCTTACGGCATGGCTCAATGTCGTCGTTGTCGCTGCTTCTCCTTGCTCGATAGTCGGAACAATCAGCTATCAGATTTTCGGTTTCATGGCGCGAAAATTAGCAAAAGCTCAAAAGAAGTTTTCGGCTGAACGGACACGGATACTGACACACGCACGGTAGAAATCCGACAGTTGAACCGCGACTTCGACGCTTACCGCAACAAGCGATGACGACCACTATGGTTGGCGACGAGCGGCTCTCGCAGAAGAGCTCTGATTTATTGAACAGGGCACGCTGCCGCCGCCGCTTCCCTCTGTTTCCATCCTTCCTTCCGCGCTGATGCTTTTCTCGGACGCTTCTGTCTGTAATGGGATTTGTTTTCGAGGCGGATCTCAAGTAGAGGCTAATCGTTCAATGGACCGAGAACTTTCCTTGTTCAGAAGCGGAACAACGAAGCTTTTGATTTTTTCAACGTTTCTCGTAATAAAAATCTCGAAGCCCATTTTGTACCTTTTCGAAGTCGATCGGTATAGCGGCAGCCGAGATCGGGGGGCTCACAGGTCCGTTCTCGAGAGATCGACCCGCGACTTTTCTGGGGTCCTGAGTCTTCTTCCCCGTTGGCGGGTTCAGTCCGTTCAGGAATTTCGGAAGTGTCCCCGAGATTCTGATCTTTGAAGGTAATTTCTCGAGAATAATTGGCGCAATGAACACGACCGAAGATTCTGTCCATTTGTCTGTAGTTAGCGGCAGGCCAAAGTGCAGCGGGGAATTTATCCATAATTCATGCGACGACTGAATGAGAAGCGAGAACAAGAAGCTGGGCTTCGAAATGATCAGATCACGACCTGCAACGATGCTCATAATATCCGATACGATTATCGTCGAGTAGGAGTACGGCTCCGCGCGTCATCACGCTGCCGTTGTCTCGTCGCCGCGCTGTACGCAGTCTGAGGCATAGAGAATATTCGGAGAAGTAATGGCTGCGATGAGAACGATCAGGTGACCCGATCGTCGCCTCCCTGATCTTTTAGCGGCTGCTGACGCATCTGCTTTCCGAAAAGCTGACCACACGATCATCAAAATCCGCTCACGGAAAATCGGAAGCTTTTTTTGCTTCTCCAGGAGTCATTTCGTCCGGTTTCAGCCGAATTATCAGCCGCGAGCACGAAATACTGCGCCCGGCTGCCTTCGCTTTGCACGTAAGCGACGCCGTTGGCGGAATCAGCGTGCCCGTAGGAATAATGCTTCTCAGCTGACTCCAGCGTGATCCGGGCCACTCTGCTCGTGGTGCCGTGTCCGAGAATTTTACGTTTCTGCGACAGTGACAAGACGAAATTTACGGCTAACCTATCTCTGTCCCCCGTGAAAACGACGACGACGATAGAACAGAAGAAGGCGCCACTGATGCGCTCGGCGTACGATAAGATTCGCTCCAGTTTTATATTTACAGAGAACGACGTACCGAGGCTTGCACGCGAGCAAATATCGTTTACTGACCGTCATTGTCGTCTTTCTACTTTCAGAAAAGTGTGCAGGAACTGCAGATGTCCCCGAGAAGATCACCAGCAGTCAGGATCCACCGCCAATCAAGCCGAAGTCGAACGACTCATGCTGCCAGCTCCTCCAGCTCACATGATGAATCCTCCGAGCCAAGGGTCGGCCCAAGGAGCTCAGGCGGCGCATCCTCACCCGAGCAATCAAGCCCCTTCGCCTGAAATGAGTTCAGGTCATCGACAAAGCGACGACGATAGCGGATGCGCCTTAGAAGAATACACTTGGGTTCCACCAGGCCTCAAGCCCGAACAGGTTGGTTTGCTGCTCTATGATTAGATAAGATTCGCTTCATGTTGTCGGTACGGTCTTCTCCTGGCTTTAAGAGCGGAATCCCGCTGCGCTCGGCATATCAGGAGATTTTCATATTCCTTTCGGGGTTACCCGGCCGTTCATTTTCGCGGTCGAGAGGGGATTTCTTCTAGTACGTACTGCAGGTGTCCCACCATGGAGCAATGGTATTGTCGTCAAAATTCGAGGCAGATACCCTCGGTGAGGATTTCGGCTGCTTCGACTGCCGGCTTCGTGAGTGACTCACGACGACTCTTCCACGCGGGCGGTCCCGGCTCCAAATCTGCTCGGACTCTCGCAGAGCATGAACCAGCCCCGGAAATAAATAAAAAGTCACTGTGAAGACGTGGTTCTTAAGACGATGCTGTGCTTTGTGGTCAGTCCGACCTAGGGCTTTGCGCTGCCGATTCCATCCGAGTTGGAACCAGATCCACTCTCTCAGCTCGAATATACCCCGGATCACGTTCGCAGACGATTGCATGCCCTTGCGTATAAGATCCCTCATGCGGGCATTTTGTGAACCTCATCGCGGCAGCGAGCACACCGGAGCATTCATTTTTGGGGAGAAAAACTGTCAATTAGGGGCACGGCTCCTGCTGGAAAGCATGGAATTCAAGAGGGACGCCTGAGGCGATACGACATCCCACTGTCTGACGGTTCGTCTGCGCACGGTCCCTCTAGCTGTCCGTCCTTACCTACGTCTTCCTTCTGTCTGCTCTCACGACGAGAATGAAGTATCAGACACACCGGCAGCAGCAGCAGAAGTCTTCGGCCCCCATGGCGTCCATACGTCACCGCGTCAGACGTCCACGGTAGCGAGATTAAATGACTCACAAACTCATCACAATTGTCAACTGCGATTTGCTCAGTGCAAATTGCGTCTGCTCTGGATTCTTTCTATGCCTGTTGTGCCGTTGTTTTCATTTGGGTCCAGAACGAATGACGGTCGACGGCAAGTGCCATACGGTCGTCGGGAACGACGGAGCCTTTGCGTCCTAAATGACGTTTTCGCTGTTCAGTCGTTGCCGAGATACTGAATGTCGTTTTTCCGCTTCTCACTTCTTCCCGGTGACCGTAGCTGGTGCGTCGGCTCTACGCGTCGTCTGAAGGAACAAGTTGACCGCAGACGAGCGAAACATGAAAATGAACGAAATCCCATAAAACTCCATCGGCTCGAGACTTAATTGACAAAATCCTGCGGGCAGTCGTCTACCACGCGGCGACGGCAGCGGCTCGCCCGTGGTGTCAAGAAGACCGACTCGCTGCAGCCGGGCCTGTTTTGCTCGCTTTGAATTGGTAAGACACACCTTCAGCTGCGCCAGCAGTGCTAATGGCTTGTGTGGCCGGTGAGCGATTCGTAGAACATAACGTGCTCGACCGCCACTCGTTCGTCTTTCCGTCTACGGAGATCTCGCAGGGGCATACGTGCTTCCGATCGGTGGTTTTCTCGCCCGCGATTTTCGGGCTTCGTTTGAGGAGGCAAGCGGACACGACAAAACAGTTTTGCGAATCGGAAGCTGCTCCTGCAGGCAGACGGTGGCGCAGCGCAGGTCGAAAGCCGGCCCTCTGATTGACGAAGCCCGTGGACGGGTTCAAGTGGTAGAGGTCAGTCCATCCGAAGACTTACGGGTGTCACGAATCGTGTTTGACGACTCACGGACCGGAGATATGTCAGAGCGGAATGAGCCTCATGCCGAAATAACAAGCTGCCGGTCGTAACCTGAAGTACCACGCACTGAGCAAACGAGCGGCTTCAGATCACCGATAAGATCGATGTAGGATTGGTAGGTGGGTTAACCGGATGGCTGGTAGCTTGTTTGCTCGCCCGTTGAGACGTATAAATGGATGGATTGATAGATGGAAACCAGCGGTGACCAGGATCGATACATGAAAGGATAAGCAGGCGAACAGATGAGCTGTCGCTACGACGCTTGAGGCTGACAGGAATCGAACGAATATTGATTCAAAGTGTATGATTCAGTTGGACAGCGTCAATCAGGCTCTTGCCCCGGTTTCACCATCGGAAATGATAATCCAGGCGGCGGGGAAAATCCCGTTAGTGAGGAACGATGTCCAACTCTGAACCCCTCACAACCCTCGCGAGAAACAACTCAATCAGTGCAGAACGGTGATTGTTTGATTGGCGAATTTCGGCTCTCCTTCGCTGATATCACCTCGAAATCAGCCCTCGGAAACTTGGAGATCAGGATTTTCGGCTCTCGATTGTGCGAGTGCATCAGTCCATCTCGCATGCACGGCTTCCTGTGCATATCTCCGGGAGCTGTGCGCAAATCTCCACTGACTGAATATTGGGAATATTCGGTAGCGAGTGACCCCGTCGGGGGAAAAGGTCCGACCCGGGTCTCGTTCTGCTAACAGAGCGTTTCCGAAACTTCCCATCGAATGAGGAGGGATATTCGTGCGTCCGTGAGCTGAATCGGGTTATCTGACCCAAGCGACAGCCTGGAATCGTGTTGTCTCGTTGTTGGTCTTTCGAAGTTAGTTTGATCCGTTCCGCGGTGCTACAGACGTCCATCGCTCGACAGTGCTGCTCGGCTCTGATGAATGATTTTTTCCGTTCCTCGCTGCGCGTAATCATCCTCGTCCGATAATGAGAACGTGAAGTTAATTACATTTTGGATAATGCTGTCTGGTGATTCTTCTCGGACTCTCACCTTCGTAATTCCCGCATTTTTATCCGAAGAGCGTAGAGTCCCACACCTCTCATCGGACTCGCGGGAATCCTGATCCCGGCGGAATCATAAGCTCCGGCTTCATATGCTGGATCGCCTTGGAATTTTCTATTGCCGAATCATGAAGGCATAGATATCAGAAACATTTTGTGGAAGTACGACAGACTTAATTAGGTAGACACGAAAGCAGTCCGAACAGGCTTCGTAACCCCGATGGTTTCAGCCGAAACAGCTACTGACCGCCCAGAGGACTCGATTCATTCGATACGAAACGTTAGGGGGATAAAGAGTCCCCTGTCGATCTGAGACAAGAACAAAGGCATTAAGGATTCTGAAAGTGGATGACGGAGCATTCATCAAAACGGGAACTGGTGACTGAGCTCTTAGCTCACTTAGCTCTTACCTCTATGATCGATTGAATGGCGCAGGAAGATTTTGAGCGAAAGAACTCCCGAGCTGATCGTCCGCCTGAATCTTTCGGGAGAGCCCATTTCTCTCCGAGGGAGCTTCGTCGGATGGTCCTTTGATTCGGGCGGCTTCTCATCAGCCTGATCCTGCGTCGAGCCTTCCGTCCGTTTCTTCGATCGGTTTGATTGCTTAAAACCGAGGGTAAACGGAAAAAAATGTCTGTAGCTCGGTGGTGTGATAGAAAGGTGCCCGAGTGGTCGGAGAGCTCAACCTTTAAGGTGTCGAGCATGTCGACTGCATTGACCCTGTTCCGTGAAGAGGGTTGCTCGTACCACCCCGGTGCACCAACTTCTCGCGGTGACGATCCCGAGGGTCAGTTCGAGCCTGAGGATCCGAAGTTCCACCCGAGGCTGCAAGCGAGCTCTTCAGTCGAGGGGAAAAGAGGTAGAGGGAAACGGTCAGTTCACTCGACCGACGGCCTCCCCGGGGCTGAAGTAATTTGATCTCTTCCTCGACCCCAGGAGCGAAATTAGGAATGTGACTCATAAATTTTCACCGTCCCAATACAATGATTTCTCCGTCATGTCGCCTCCCGAAATCGAGCTCTTTCTTTGTGAAACCGCCACCGATTCGAAGCGAGGGAGACATCGCCCGAAACTTCGCAGGAGACATGAAGACCCGTTTCCCATCAGAGGCACCGGATTGAGTCATCTTGGTGGCTTTATTTAACACGATGCTCGGCGTGAGGTCATAAACGACAACTTTATGGCGGTCGTTGCATGATTCGCATCATTCGATTTATTCCTCTTCTAGCTGGAAGAGCCGAGAATAAATTGGAGCGAAGCTCTTCTTGAAATTGAATTAGTTTCAAGAAGTGCTTCCATTCAGACATCATGAAAGAACGCAGCCTGCTCCCCAGCCGCGGACGGAAGCTCGTGTTTCGGATAGGAGGGAACGAAATCATTGCAGCAAAGAATCTTGACCGATCCTTCCGAGGTTCGCCACCGTTATCATGGGGCTGATGATGATCACTTCGTTTATGATGAGGCGGATGCGAATCGCGGAGGGTCTCCTCCGCCTATTGAACGACATTGTGATTTGCATCTCGTTCTCGGCGTCCAGAAATGGCTTTCAGATGATTAAATAATTCGAGCAAGAGTAGTGGTGCTCAAGGTGGCCTCTGTTGTCGGCGGAACCGGTGAAATGGAATATCGAGGCTATATCTTCGTACACAAAGAATCCAAAGCTCTGTAGACCCACTTGACGCTGCTACGGGTACGCCACCCAATTCCGATTATCTTGTCTGTCCGTTTATAATACGTGTGACTACGTACGGTCTACCCACTGCATTGGCGCTAAGTGCGACTCGGGAATTTTTCCTTGATGGCTGGAGTGGCATTTCGGATCATAAGAAATTCCGCGTTCGGTATTCGTTCTGTCTCACGCCAAAATGTTTCTGTTCGTCAGAATCGGGGACAGAATGTCCGACCTTGCCATCGATCGGCACCGTCACGATCGGAGAGATCACGAGCTGCTCTCATCATCCGGATCGCCTCTCACTGAGTGAGTCGAGGGCCAGAACTCGGAATTCCGGAGTTTCCCCCACTCACCGCTCTGAAGCGGTGCACCCTCGACGAGAGACCCTTCCGCGAACGGAGACTGAACTCTTGTCGGAGGATTTAGCGCTCGACGAGAGAAGAGACCGTGTATTTCGCGGCTTTAGCCCTCACGTATTCGTTTACTCCATCGTCATCGGTTGTGCTGGTGTGCCGGCGACTGGGCCAACTGGCGGCCACGACCTTTCTGGCGACGTCGATCTCGCGGACCTCAATCTTGCGGTGGCGGCGGCGGCCGTTTCCCTCTCTCTCATGAGAAACTTTCAATGAATCGCTCACATGTGAAAATATTCAAACAAGTAAACAGTCGTCAGACCTAGCAGGAAGGTGAGAGTTGTAACGAATTCAATAATGTTTCACTTTTCTCACGGCGACGCACGGTTCCCACGCAAATCGACAGCATTTCTCTGAAATGTTCCCCCACCGTCGCGATGACTTGACTGTCCAAGATGTCCTCTCTCCCTCTCTCTCTATTTGTTGTTTGTGTGTATGTAATATTTTTCCCTCTTATCGAGTTGTTTGCTCCGACTGTCCGAATCTGGGCGATTTGGCTGCTGGAGCCGGATCAAGGCAACGTCAGAGTACAGCAGCTTGTGTGGTCGTTCTGATCACCGCAGCCACCACCGCTATGTATTTCTTCAGGGGATTATGACATTGTCATTAGAAATTGTTAGTTGTTTCATCGTCTTGTTGCTGATCGAAGCAGAGGCTCAATCGAGTGAGCAACAAATGGATAGAGCTCTGTCGGCGACGAACGACTGCATCATGCTCATTTTCGTTTGATCAATTATGATCGAAGGTCACCATCAATATCGCATTACAACAATCGGTCTCGCTGCTAATGCGTTCGCGTATTTTTTGTGTATTACGGCGAATGTCATCGCAGCACTGTTGCTTCATCTGAGCGCCTCTCTTCGATCGTTTCCCTGTGCGCAGCCATACGCATTGAGGAAGCGTCCGTTAGGAGGTCTGACAGGCAGGCAGGCTGACGGACGGTCGCTCGGTCGGAGAATCGACCGGCGACGGATGTTTCGGTGCTCGAGTCGCGCATCGATGAGTGAACCGCAATGCCATTATGATACGTCCAATACGTCGGATGCGAATCCCAGTCGTCGGTTGTTCTCAGTCGATCGGCTGGAGTTCCGACTCTGGGAAAATATTGAAAAATCGCCCCGTCGAGTGAAGCTCCATGGCAATCCCCGACCCTGAATCGAGAGAGGAACGGAATCGATAGGACACCATAGAGCCAAAGTGATCTCGTCGCCTCTCCGACTCGGGCTCTAGTACCGGCTTCAGGCGCCTCGATTTGCCTGTGCTAGTCCGGACACCGCCGCCCATCCCGGGGAATGTAACGGAGTGCGCACTGCAATACTTGTTCTTACTAGCTGCTGATACGTGGGTTTGACGATTTCCAATTTGGTTTGCTCTTCAAAGCGGTAGCTGTGTCGGAGCTATGGTGTGCGAGCGGGAGCTGTGCGGGTCAAGAACAGGGGCCGCGCGATCGGCTGTTCGTGATGAGATGAAGTCTCCGTTCGCTCCGGTGAACACGACGTCGCTCGGGACGATCGCGGCAAGCCGTCACTGTGAGAGCCGTCAGCGGACATGACTCCGAATCGTTCTTCGTCTCTATTTTCGTTCGATATTAAATTATCGTCGCTGGATTGAGTGTCTTTTCGAGAAATTTGCTTGCTTGCTAGCAGCTACCAAACGAAGTGGCCAGCGACCAGGACTCAGTGATCATGATGTGTCGGCTGTCGAGCAGATCCTTCTTCTATTCGGAAGATCTTTTCACTGACGCGATGAGGGAATTGGGGGATCGTGTTTTGCACATCAGAATTCTCGCGTCTGAATCAGCGAATCGGATACACTGCTGGCTACCGTCGCGTCGCCTCCGAAATATTTTCCCCGATCGAGCTTCGACTCATACTGTGAATAGAATTCGATACATTATCTTCTACGGTCTTCTTGCACTTTGGAACATCCGTTGCCAATACTTCTCGATGCGATCTCTGACTCAATCGATCGATCCACCGAGCGAGCGAACGGGCGAACGATCGATCCATCAACCCACGATCCATACGTACAATCGAGTGATTGTATATTCGAACATTCCTCCATCTGTTCCCGAGAGTACTCCCGACCTCTCGATCAAGTCGACCTCTCAATTAAACATTCGCCGCGGTTCATTGTTGCAGGTTCATCTGTACTTCTCGACGCTGCCAGAAGACAAGATCCCCTACGTGAATTCAATCGGAGAAAAATATCGCATAAAGCAACTGCTGCATCAACTTCCTCCCCACGATTCGGAAGCTCGCTATTGTAATAGTCTTTCGGAGGAGGAGAAACGAGAACTCAGATTGTTCTCCTCGCAGAGGAAACGTGAAGCCCTCGGCAGGGGAACGGTCCGTCAGTTGCCCGTTTCTCCCCACGTACAGGTTGTTTGCGCATGTGTAAGTATCCATTCCGAGCCGAAAATTTTCCAGGGGAGGGCATAGGGTGTTCGTACGTGTTGAGAGACCTCTCGGCGTTCCGCGCATAAATCCCTACAACGTCCCGCCCGCAAACCGAATGACTAATCTCTTGGTACCTTTCCCTTGCAGTGCAACGAGTACCTCTCCGGTGGAGACATGTGCGTGTTCGCTTCTCGCGCAGGACCGAACATCGGTTGGCACCCGTCGTGTTTCACGTGTACTGTTTGCAAGGAGCTCCTGGTGGACTTGATTTATTTTCTGAAGGAGGGAGCTCTCTTCTGCGGTCGGCATCACGCCGAAAGCTTGAAACCCCGCTGCAGTGCGTGTGACGAGATCATTCTCGCCGACGAATGCACTGAGGCGGAGGGATTGGCGTGGCACATGAAACACTTCTGCTGCTATGAATGCGAAAAGCAACTGGGCGGTCAGCGCTACATAATGAGAGACAGTCGACCCTTCTGTCTCGCGTGTTTCGACGCCATTTTCGCCGGTAGGTGACAGACGATCGGCGTGCGTCGTCTACGATTCTCATCTTTACGTTTACTTATGTCAACGGCTGCCGCGTCTTGAATTGACAAGCGTCGAGCTCGCCGCCCCACAACCAGGCGGTCTAATCATGCTCCCCGAATGTTTACAGAGTTCTGCGACACTTGCGGAGAGCCCGTTGGTGTCGACCAGGGCCAAATGTCTCACGAGGGACAGCACTGGCACGCGACTGAACAGTGCTTCAGATGCTCCAGCTGTAGAAACTCCCTTCTCGGCAGGCCTTTCCTGCCCAAGAAGGGACTCATTTACTGCTCGTTGGAGTGTAGTCGAAGTAAGTATTACCTGACCGCGCCCGCAGTTCGCACAATTCCTTCGTGTATTCCTAGAAACTGAACCTCGACATCGAATATTTCGTCTGCTGAAAAATCAACCCAATTTCTTTGTGTCCACAGGCAGCTCGAGCAGTCGAGCACAGCGATCGAACTCTGTGAAGAATTCGGCGCGTCCGAATTCTTCCGCAGAGAAGGCGTTGGTGATCTCTCAGCAGCAGAAATCGCCTCAGCAAGAGAGCATGTCCATGGTTCCGGCGGATGCGATGTTTCCCTCCAAACAGATCGCCTTCTCCCCGCTGGCCAATAGTTCTTCCGACAACGTGCATCCACGTTCCCAGGCTGCGGACAGGAACTATTCCCCCATGTCGAACCACAGCGAATCGCTTCGGAACTTCGGCGCTAATTTCTCGCCGAACACTTCGTCTGAGAAGAGTTTTGCCTCTCAGCAAATGACCTCCTCGGCCCACGGTATTCAGAGGCCTGGTCCTCCCCCGTATAACGTGGCCGCTTACAATCTCAACGGACTCCCTCCGCCGATGGGTCGCGCACCGAACCATATGCGAGGATCGCAGGGTAACATCGCCCACAATTTCGCGCACAAGGTTCCCCAACAGCAACAACAGCAGCAGCTTCCAACCCAGAACGGTCTATCGCCGATGGTTCGTCAGCCGCCCGGGATTCCGCGAGATGTAGCTCTGTTGAACGGCAAGAATTCACCCGTTGTTCAATCACAACGACTTCTTGGCGACGTCAGCAGCGGCTCGATATCTCCAGCCGTACGGAATTCTCCCGCGCAAGGGAGACGGGAACTCCAGCGGCCCCAGCAACCGATGGTTGCCGAGCTCCAAAACGGGATTGTCTCTCAGAACGGGAACCGTTCCCTGTCGCCGACTCTGCCACGACGTGAGGCCGGATCGCCAGGATTGGGCCGACGATCGTTGACCGATCTGTCCTCGAACAGTCTGCCGCGACCCCCACGTGATGGCTCGAGCTCGTTGGCGGGGACACCGACGAAATACAAATCCGTTTACGGAGGCAACCACGGCCTGACGGTCGGATCACCTCAGCGGAAGCAGATGGCCGATTTCACGCTGCCAGAAGTCAACTTCGGAGCGAAACAGAAGACGAGGTTGACTCGTGAGGGTTCGCTCAATGAGCATTACGCGAACCTTCAACGCAGCGGGTCCGTGAACGCTCTCCCGGAGGTCGAGCACAACAATGCCATGATCAAGAGGCGTCCGTCGGAGCAGTACCAGAGTGGCACGTTGCCGAGGAACTTCAGCAGCGGGCCGATACTCAACGATGGGAATTTGTACAGTAATTATCCCGCGCCCCAGGAACTCTACATCAACGCTTCGCAGATACACAACGGCGCTCACATGCAACTGAACCAAAGTCAAGAAATCTATAGCAATCCACAAGAGTTCCAGCAAGCCGCCGCGGACCTAACCTACGACAACGTCCCGAGCGTTCGCAGCATCATGTACAAGAATGGCAAGCAGGAAGAGATGACGCATGAAGAGCACGATATGACGATGTCGTCGACGCAATCTATGACTCCCACAACACGCCGTCGAGAACCTCTAGATATGAGCGACATCTGCTTGAAAGATCTGTTAGCGGGAAGCGATCAAGTGTTCGTTGAGGTCGTACAGGAAATCCAGAACGGACCTTCGGTGAGTGCGAATAACCCGAGAACCTTCGAGAGGTCCTTCTTGAGAATGACGGTTGCGATCATTGGAATATCTGATTGGCATGATGGCGTCATCAATGAAGAAACTCGCTCTAATTTCCCTCTTTCGCCTTGCAGCTCCATCGAACAAGTCTCCAAGCAGCGTCCAACGGTCCGGGATCGATGCGGCAAAATTTCTCGCTGCCCTTGATGAACCCTCACAGACCGTCGGCTCAACCACCGGACACCCTAGAGCTCGAGTCCCCGATGACTCCTCAGCAACTGCCAAGTCCGCCCATTCTGAAGTCGATCGGACCTCCGAACGGAATTCTGCAACGTCAGACGACTACCAGAGCCGAGGTCCATCATCAACAGAACGATTTCGAGCTCGAGGAGCGACGATCGATGCGACGAGAATCGAAATCCAAAGTGCGATTCGATCCTAGTCTCGGCCATCCGAACTCCGACGAAGAGCAGAAGTCCGCGTCGAGAAACACCTCGCGCAAACACCGTAGAAGGCACTGCAGGCGATCCTCTAGTTCGGATTCGGAAGGCGAAAGCGACCGACCGGACAAGAAGTCTTCGGCCGTGTCTCCCACTGGCTCTTCATCGAGTAAGAGGCACAGCTCTTCCAGGCATCGCAGTCGATCGGAAGATCGTTGCGACGGCGGCGAATCTTCCAAGGACAGGCGATCCCGAAAGAGCTCGAGGAGCTCATCGAATGGCCGGTCACGAAGTGGCTCATCGTCCTCGCACCATCGAAGTCGTAGTTCATCGAGATCTCGTCGGGAACGCGACGAGAGCAGCTGCTCGACGTGCGATAGCACCGACTCGACGTCGAGCACCGAAGACGAAGCCGAAATCTACCGCTTACCGGAACGTCGTGATTTCGGTGGCGTTCGCATCAATTATGTGCAAAGTAACACGTTAGCCGTAGCGAGACAGAAAGCTGTAGCAGCTCAACGTGCACAAAATAAAAACTGCCTCGTGCAGTGAGAGGGTTGTGAAAACTGTACAATTATTACCAAATATTCTGAAAATGTTCATGATATTCGTACGATTCGCAACAATTTCCTCAGTGGCCAAAGCGGGCGAGCAGCAGCAGCTCTACTGTCTTCCGCAACGAAGACTCGTGCAATACCCATCTAACTACATGCCAAATGTCTTGTGCTCCATGAAGCTGTGGCGCTCGCGTGTAAACAACGAAAACAATCACAAATGACGATGTATAGGTCATGAAGGCGATTCATGTCGGCGGTTCGTCGGACGATACGACTCGGATGGCCTCCGCTTCAGTATTGGTCATTTCATACAATTTTGTACATGACATCATCTGTAGAGATCTGCATAAACATCCTAACAGCCACTTCGTATATGCATTTTATGTGAAGCTATATCGATATTGTAAATGTAAATAAATACTCATTTCGAGATCGCTCTGTCGTATCTGAAACCTTCGCTTTCTTGATTCGGATGAGTTTCTCGGGATACCTGAAAGTGAAACGAATGCGTTTCGATGGCTCGCGGGAGCGAACCCCATGGAGCCATTGAATGTGGGGATATCCAGTGGGAAATTAAGAGGTCCGCTCACAATCACTCCGGAAACCTTCGACTCGACGATACTGATCAAAACGCGGATTTTGTAAGCTACATAATGAGGTGTTTTATTGACTAACAATGAGATCAATGGAAGCATGACAGCTGGGACAAATACCGGGTATGAGCGGGCTCGGCTCACTCTTCCAGACATGAGCGCTTGGAAGTACGAATCGCGCAAACTGGTGATTTTCACATCGTCGATCAACGACACAGGAGACAGGGTCATCCGGTGAGCTTCTTGAATCAAATCATTTCTCGATCCTTGGGCTGCAGGTGATTTTGTAAGATTCCGCTCATGTAAACTGATGTGAACAGGTTCTGGGGCAGAAAACAGGTTTGGAGGTGGGACGGAAGGAGAGAGTTAGCTCGTTGATCGGTCCCCAGAAAGGAAAGCTGGAAAAGGAGAATGAGCCTGTTTGTTACAGAGAGCCCAGATCAGGCCGGCTCCACATGCCCAAACGATGCAGTCGGGAGACTGCAGTGATCGCCCGATTGGATCGCTGCATGGGAAATCTTCCCTCGAAGAATTTCGGAACGAAGACACTGACCGGTCTCTCTATCGGTGAATGCTGATCTTCGTCAGGCTCGCCGTCTAAACTGATGTCCTCCGCGGTTCCTCCGTCAGCCTGACGCAAATGTTCCAACCTCATGTTCGTCTGGCGTTTCCATTTGGTGCGACGATTTTGGTACCAGGTTTTGACTTGAGTTTCGGATAAGTTTAGTATTTCAGCGACCTGACCACGATCCGCGACACTGAGGTATTTCTGCGATCGGAACCTGGTGGGCGATAAGACCAAGCAGGGAGACCATAAATTTAGGTTCTCCGATCGGGTCACACAATGAGTTCTCATACTGTAAGATCGAGAACAACAAGTCGAGACAAGCAGTACTCGAGAGGGAAAATAATATCAGACCGTCTTTCGAGATAAGCCAACTGCGCCTGAGTGAAGGCCGTTCTTCGTCGTCGCGGTTTCTTGTGAGGAGAAGCGTCTTTCGACTGGCGACCGGTTTCGATCTCGCATCCGACATCGATGTCCGACTCAGAATCCGTCAGGACGACTGAAACATACGTAAAATATCGAAACTGTGAAAAGATTTCCAAGAGATCGAATGCAGACATAGGTAGGTAGGACATGAAAGTTAAAGAGATCGAATTCAGACATAGGTAGGTAGGACATGAGACTTAAAGAGATGACGCTCCGCCCGATCGTTTGGTTCTCACTCTCTCGTCCGATGGACTGGTGATATATCTGAAGTCGAAGTGGCTTGTTTTGACGCCGGAGAGCAGCGAACTCTCGTGTCTCCGTGCTTATTTAAATTCTCGCTGGCGAGAAGCACGAGTTGATTTCCTGTCGTAATTGCAATTTGCATATAAACTGGTCGCCCTCTCCCGTCAGTCGTGCTCTCTTGTTGGAGTGGCGACATACTCGGGCCCACACACTCGGTCTCTTCCCAGTTATTTCTTGGCTCTTTCATTGATTGTCATTAAAGCCACCGCACTCGTGAGTTCAGTCGGCCAATTACAAGCTCCGTAGGGTGTCTGTCTCTTTCGCTTTCTGTTGCCGACCATGTCGCTGCAGACGGTGACATAAGGGCCGGGCTCTAGCATATACTCGAGCTTCATCGCAATACAAGTACAAAACGAATGCATCCCTTGCAAGTCACAATAAATGCCTGCCAGAGCGATGTGTGACATACGAGAGGACCAGAACTCGGAAGATTTGCTGCAATTGCTCGCTGATTCTGGAGGATCGGCGATCACGGAGTATCAGCAAGGATTCGAAGGATAAGGGCCAGAATTCCCTGAAAGTGGAGAGGATTGGTCTGACGAAACCATGCTCTCCTGGTGTTCAAATAATGTTCCCATTCTCCCAAGTTAGATGAACTCCCTACGGGGTACGGTGAGACATGATCAACTTATCTGGTTATAGATATGGTGATTCAACTCGATAATAGGTAATTTCCCCCGCTTCCCGGCGCAGGGGCCGGTACTACGAGAAGCCATGAGAGAGGTGATCCATCGAGGTTCGGAGCAACTCGCAAATCGGAGAGCTCGCTTGACTTGGTCGTAAGGATGGATTCTAACTCGCTCTCGTCATAGGCAAAAACTCGCGCACGTTGACGACTCGAGACTTTCTGCCTCTTGAACTTCGAACGATGTCGGGAGTCATCATCTGTTGCACGAGCGAAACACGTGGCATAAACCGCTCTGGGCGGTGCTCGATCCACAATTTAGAGATGAGGCACTTGAGCTCAGCCGGGGAGTCGGAATCTCGTGAAAACAATCTCGCTGTGCTCTTCGTCCGCCGATTCACTCTGCCTCGAAGCTTGGAGATGGCACTCTTCCGGAGGGATCCTCTACACAGTACGCATTCGTGATCCATGGAGTTCGGCCTCCCTACTCGAGGCTCAGGGCGAAGAAGGATGCGGGACTCTCTCGATCATGTCGCAAGTCGTTCCTGATTACAAGTGGTCAACCTCTATTGGGAGTAAGTCTCGATTGAAGGATAATACGACACTCGCTCGATCCAGTCGGTGGGCTTCGTTCCCAGGGGCCTTCCTGCCAAGCCGTCTGCACAGGGGGATCCGCCATTCTTGATGCACAATAATCATCATAGACAATCCACCTAGTTCGCAGAGTAAGCCTGTCCGAAGATATTCTGATGATCATTCCGATTCCATCTGAAGAATACGGTTCTCGGTCTCGCCCGGTGATAGGAGTCTGTTTTTCTCCGGAAGCGACCGATCAAAAAAGGAAGATTCAGAAAAGAGAAAATTTCTGGTCTTGGTTGTTCTTGACGACTTTTCTCCTGCGAAGTTGTCGTTTGGCAAACAAGTCAACTGCTTTCCTCGGGAGAATACCACTTGCTCGGGATACAGGATCGCCGCCGGGGAAAACTCGACAAGTCAGTGAATTCCTCACCTACTTCACCTTCGCGGCACGAAGATGCTATTCACACGCTTCGACAACGTTTGAGAATCCCGTGGGAGAGCTCTGAGCGACGAGAAAAAACGATGCTACGTCGCCTACTATTCTGATCGACTGCCTTCTGCCGGGGAGATTATTCAACGGACTCCACATCGACTAGAGAAGATGTCGACGTTAACCTCAATTATTTGGGCAAACAAAGCCTTGATCTATCTTTCCCAACAACTTTCGGAATATTACGAGTAAGCGGCGATAGAAGCCGAGCCGGGCTGGGCTGGGGTGCTGAACCTGAGAATGAGTCGGATCACTTTCTATAGAGAAGCGTTCCTTGGTCATCTCTAGCAAGGAATCATCAATACTGACTTTCGGACCATTCGATATGATACACGACAGAGTCCTTGAATCCTTCCGTTGAGTCTGACGGTCCTTTCTTCCCTGACAGAGCTCCATCCAATCCGAAGGTAGAACGAGCAGTCTCTCTCTGGCTCCTTCCGCAGGTCCGATTCGTTACTCCGTGACGTGAGAGGCCGCAGCTCTGCGCGCGACCGATGGAAGACCTGCCCATGTCTAGGAGTTCTCCGGAAATTCTCGCCAGGGTTTCCCTGGGACCCTGTCGGCTGTCGATGATTAGACATGCACCCACTGGTCTAGACTCTACTTGGACATATCCTGATCCAGGGGAGCAGCGGCCGGGGCTTGAGAACGAATTCGGATCGGTGAGCAGGCGTGGCGCGAACCGAACAGCAGCATACCTCGAAGAGAATGACACAGCGGACCAGAATCAGCCTGTCAGCCGCCATACCCCACCTGTATCTGGGCATCCGCGTCGGACCTCGGTGCTCGCGTTAATCGTGAACTGGATCTTCTTGGGTCCGTCCACCATCCGGAAAAAACTTTGCAGACCTATCTCTTCTGAGCTCTCGGGGGGCAGCCCCGGTCGGGGTTCCATCGGGGGCTCCCGGTCAAAGCTCATGATTGAGCGCTCGCTCACCACCGCGGCATTTCGCATGATTCATCGCGGTATATTCGACCACGGGAGCAATATTTCAATCGAGCCTAAGACGTCTGCCTTAACCGTTCCGCCGGAAAATTGGGAGCTCCAGGAAATATATCGGGAGTCTTTCGCACGAGGAGTCGTGACGAACGTTTTGCCTCCTAATCAGATCGAAGGATAGCCTCATATCATAGCATCGCTCGTAATTCTCTCGAGGAACTTAGAGTTCATCGAAACTCGGGCTGAACATCGCCGGCGACGCCTCGATAGCAGTTTCTAGATTTAGATCCAATCGTAGACACCGAGAGTGGAATTGATTTCTGCGCTTGCCCATCTCGACGGGATGGGCCGATGTTCGGAAAATTGTGAAATCTACGGCTCGCTGATCTCTCTACTCCCGGTTCGGGGAGACAATCGACGTTAGGGCCGTGGGTGACTCGAGAAAAAAGACTCACCGCCTCTATCCGTGGTCGATTTCGGATGAACACTTTGGAGTTTGGTCTCAGTCTGCGATGCGAGAATATCTCGGATTAGGAAGGTGCTTCTGGGCAGCACCTCTTTCGACTCCTTGGTGTCCATCGGCGAGGCTCCGAAGGTGTCCGACACTTAGGCCGCTGCTGCCGTTGCTGATGTCCTCGCTCGAGAGCACTGGTTGTTGCAGTCGCTCGAGCAATCACCTCAAAGTGAAATCAATCAACAAATAATCACCCGTGAAGACTCCAGTGAGGCCTGGAGCTTGCTGAGGACGACTTTGGGCGCCCGCCATTGGCTGGAGCAGGCTCCGCCTCGAGGTCTGGTTGGTTGAGCGAATCTCGTTTGAAGTGCTGAAGGTAAGGCCCAATTACGAATAGCTTCTCTCGCATTCCCGTAATTGGCAAACAATTGTTGCCAAAGAGAGATGATTGGCATCGGGGAATCGTACAGTTTCTCCCATCGGGCTCTATAGCAGAGGGACTCCATGCTCATGATCGACGTTGTGAGCGGTGGAATCGCGCGGGAAGCATCTACGAGTCGGCTCTGACGTTCAGATCGCCGGCCTGATTTTTCCCGACTGCTGAATGCATCCGGAAAATCGTGGCATTACAGGATTCGGGAGCTCTGTCTTCAATATGTCATGATATCGGTTACGAGCAAGCAACAGGATGGTGGTCTGGGGCTCCCGCGGAAATCCTGTCTCCGAAAGATGCTTCGAAGCCAGAAATCCTTGTTTGCTCTCTCAAAGCTCGGGCGAGAGCTGGCCAACGATCCCCACACCGCAGTTCGATAGTTGGCGACACGGACTAGCTCGTCGATGAAAGTCCGATTCCCGCTGGGCATTCATCACCTGCTTACTGGTGAAGAGGACGTCTCGCTTCTCGAGTGATGTGATATGGAGATTCCTTGTTATGCAAACGCAATAAGTTGTGCCATTCCTGGTCATAGAGTTCATCAGAAACATAATCATTCCGAAAAAATCGAGAGAGTTGTCGCCGGGGCCACCTGGACGTGTTCTTTCAAGGTGAAGGCCGTCCGGGAAACTCGATGGCCGACTCGACCTGGCCGGGCACGCGAACTGATCTATTGAGCTATCGGCGTGCACTTCACTTCCGGAAGCGGTATAGAACGCCCTTTCCAGGATCAAGGCGCATCGAGCTGTGAAATACCAGCGGAGGGTCAACGACTCAGACAAGCGATTGGGTGAGATTCCGAGGACTTCCCGGCCATGGATGAAGTTTCCCGCTTGGCGCTTCGACCACCACGAATGCGAAAAGCAAATCAGGTTCCTCTCGTAGAGTGTTAGACTTCCGCGTTCCTGCAAAGGGTCTGCTCCGACAGTGAACGGCGATTCATACGCGCCCTCCGCCTGTTCCATGCAAATGTCTCGAGCTGATCGATTTCTTCGCATGTAGCTGTCGGTGCGCATGTTTCCACACGTATGCATAGATGCCTCCGGCACGAATCTCAATTCCCGAACTTTTGTTCCTCTATGGACGCTTTTACCACAATCGTGAGTCTCGGCGAGCGAGTTTGACGAACAATGAGCGCCCCGGTCTGCTTTCCAGGGGTACCGCGACGAACATCGACTGATCTTTGAAAGTCGTCCAATTAAAGGATCACTCCGCTTCATACGGAAGATCGGTTTTGTTTTTGTCCGAGAAACGAGAAGTTCGGCCCCCGGCGGAACGTGCTTGAGTGGCATCGCGCCCTTCATAGAAAAGACGGCAGCCCGGTTTGGTGGTACTTACCTCGTTTTACACTCGACTGCTCTATCGAGGAGTTCGACTCACTTTCCACTTTCTTTCCTCCCTCCTGTGTCTACACTGCATCCTATCTATTCATGAACGAGCTTGCTTGTTTCTGTCTCTCTCTCTCTACCTCTGAGAGCACAAGTCGCCAGTCGGATGGAGTTGTAACCGTTTTTAGTTGTTTCTACGGTGAGTTTCGAAGCCCCACTGCTTTTGGATATTTAAATCGTCGACGAATGGGGCTTTAAATGAGGTTTAAGATCCCGACAGGAGCTAAGAATGCCCTGAACACTGTGGGATGGTGAGAAAGTCGACAGGTCTGCAAGCCCAACCCCATCCCGGCGCTCCAGGACAAGCTCTGTCGGATTCTTTTTTCACCCCATATGTCGGCAACAAGCGCGACAGCTCATCCCTGGCAACGTCTGACATCGGATCGGACTCAACTTCGGAAGTTGGCGCAACTCTACATGGAAGCGAGCGAGAGAATGTCTTTCTCTTGTGGAAACCTTCTCCGTAGAAACGACAAAGGTGTAGAATGAAGTTATGCTTTTATTAACGAGTTCACAGATTCCTCGAGTGTCGGGCTTTTCCCCTATCACTCAACTGTGGCCGAATTATTCCAGTCTCAAAGTTGAGGCGGAAAACGACTATCCAAAAGGAATCGCTAACGTTTAACACGATGAAGAAGGTCACTCTTGAGCACTTTGAAAGGGGCTCCAGGCCCGAGTACATTGAGAATACAATGTCTAAGGAATTCTACATCTCCGAATCAACGACTGGCCTTACAGCTTATCGCTCGGAGAGCGCGTGCGCGCTCTATTCGATCGACCCGAGCTTGCATCCGACGGGCTCATGTCCTGATGGCGCGACGTACAACAAACCGCAATACTGATGGTCATCGAAAGGAATAATCCTTTCCTCCATGAGAAGGACCGACGATGCGCAGGAACGGAAGGCATCGTGTGTGTCGACAGGCTTCAGTTCCTAGACAGGATCGCTTATAAACATAAATACGTGACGGAATACTTGGCGGATTCCGCCTCCGAGGCTATCCAGATGCGAGGGGAATTGCTAGCGTATTGACTTGGCTGGCGACAATTCGACTGATGCATTTCAGGGTTGCACGGGCTCTATCATCGGAAACATAACGAAATCAACATTGTGTGACCATGTGGGCAGGAAGGCAGCAGAGGTGATTGCGATCGAATAATTCCCCCTCGTCGCAGTATCTCAACTGAGACTGATAAGCAACGCATTGCCAATATCTACGGCAGTCTCTGGTGTCTGGGAAGCTTCCGTGTTGTGCAGGACATTGGTAAGGTGATAAGTTTACTTTAGGGTCTGCAATTTCAGAGGAATGTCAACTTGTAAGAAAGTATGGCGGCATCCCCCACCCGCTCGATGATCGATTCGGGTTTCGGCATTAGTCGTCGCGTCCTCCTACCTGGGATCGGGATCGGTCGAGGCTCCGGCTGGGGTTCCGGTCGGGGTGCGGGCTCCGGGAAAGGTTCAGGCATCGGCTCTGGATAAGGTCTCGGATGAGGTCGCGGGTAAGGCCTCGGCATTGGCTCAGGGAACGGTCTTGGAAGAGGCCGAGGAGGGAAGGGTTCTGGGAATGGTTCCGGCATGGGACGCGGATGAGGCTCCGGATACGGTTCTGGTGCCGGTCGGGGGAAGGGTTCCGGTGCCGGTCGAGGGTACGGTTCGGGCGCGGGTCTCGGATACGGCTCGGGCGCGGGTCTCGGATACGGCTCGGGCGCGGGCCTCGGATAGGGTTCGGGCGCGGGCCTCGGATAGGGTTCGGGCGCGGGCCCCGGATAGGGTTCGGGCGCGGGCCCCGGATGGGGCTCCGGAGCGAAATGGGGATAGGGCCCTAAACCGGGTCTCGTGTCCGCAGCAGGGTGACGATGATGAGATCCCGGACCGAATCGTGGATTAGGTTCAGGGACAGGTCGAGGGTGGGGCTCGGGGATGGGACCAGGGTGAGGTTCGGGAGCGGGATGTGGGTGAGCGTGCTGCATTGGACGTGGAGGATACACATTGTCGAAAGGATGCGGACCCGGGTTCCTGTAGTGATGCGGGAGTTCCAGTTTGGTGTCCTCGGGGAAGACGACGTGACCTCTTCGGAAGGATGGGTTTCAGTGTTCAATAGACTCCAATAGAGGTGTTATACTTCCATTCTAAAAAGCAGAAGATGACTCACGGCATCGGGAACAGATGCCTCATCGGTGGCATGTCGATACAGGGCATCGAATTCATGAGCATCCCGCATGGCTGCATGACGTGGCAGGGAGGTGGGATTCGATGCATGAGGCAACAAGACATGAAACCCATACACTGTCCATACGACGTGGGGTGGGCGCACTGTCCCTCGACATAGTAATCCCGGCTGAGCGATTTCTGGCTGAGGAGCGGGAAATATTACCTGTCGGAACTACTCCGGAGCATTCGCTTCATAAATTATACCTGCGGGATTTTCCACTCCGTTGATTACCTGCTCTGTGTCAGACTATGAGGCGGCAGAGCGTTTCCACTACCAGTTGTAATCACTGGCAGAGGATCGAAACGAGTGGGTCTCGGAGAAGCCGTGGGAACTACCTGAAGGTGGGCGTCCACCGTTACATTGCGGGATTGTTCTGTAAGACGAAGAGAATCAAAATTTACTCGAATCGGCTCCGGGGAGCCAGGGCGAGGCACGGGGAACGAAATCTTCCGGAGAATTTGCCAATGAATTTCTAATCGACGCTGGCCGTGTCGGTCTTCCACCTCAATTGATCATGGTGATCGACGAAGTCCCGCGAGAGAGACCTTCCCCAGATCATGGTATTCAATAATTGAGGGCTGATAGTCAACGTATGAGGGCGAGGGCATGCTGAACCGAATGGACTACAAAAACACTCGGTTTCCGTTCAAAATGCAAAACTCTCGAAATTCATCCCGAGATGCGCTCGCACACCAGTGATGATTCGCTCCATCCGCAACGAACAATGAAGGCAACAACGAACCCCCGCCGAGATCAAACATGTTTGAGCGAGTGTGCGAATCAAGGCTCAGGTGCTAAACGCTCTCGAAGGCCTGCGCTCGGTCAATCAAGCGGACTTCATCAACATCCATGCAGCTTGCAGCCAGGAAGGCTCTATCTAGCGATCATCCATATTAGCGTTGCCCACAGATGGCAAAAGCTCGATTTCTGCCCGATCGGGGAATGATCCAACATCACTCTGTAATCCTGGGTCACGCACCGAACTTGTTTCTGACCGCATCGACGTCTCTCTGATTCAAAGACTCAGCCGACTCCACGGAGTGGAATGAGACACACACTATCACCAGCACCGGGCACCAGCACTTTCGCCACCCTAACCGCACCATCTCGACTTGAATTGTGTTCCTCCTTCAGGGAGTCAATCCCCTTTTAAAGAGAAGTGAAAGTGACACCTCAAGTGGGTGGTGTCTTTCAGTCAGCGGAAACTTCTGAAAGGGTGAACGCCGGAAATTTCCGCTATGCTCCTCCGAACCGAGCCTAGAACGTTGTCGACTTTTCGGATTTCGATTTTATTGAGCAAATACTGTACGAAAATTTTCCAATGAGTCCTCAATAGTTTCTCTCCAGAGAAACGCTCACGGAGAAAAACGTCCGCATTCCGAGAGCGTCCTGCTGATCGATAGCTCTGAACAAAAGGTCGTCACGACGATGGAAAAATAGTCTCCGGTGGAATGATCCCGGTCCCGAGATTTGGGCAGCCTGCGGAGGCATTCCAGATTCCCTCTGAGCTCGGCGAGAAGCACGTCGCAGTACACTTTCCAAAGCGACTTCTGCGGGGCAGCCCGGGTGAGAACGGGCGAAGACAGTCAGCTAGACAAATATTTGACAAATCCCATATTGTTAAAGTAGCTTCGATGAGGTAACCGTGCCAAGAGCGGCATCCGCTTACGATTCGAAGCCGGAGCCCTTCGACGCTAAACTATGACTCTAGGTGCCAACATCTTCCGGGCCCGTACTTTCTACACAGTGTGTGTGCAGTAGCTCCGCCCGTCTGCGTATGTCTGCGCGGTTCAGATTTCTTCTCAGTGCGCGATGACGCAATGGCCTCCGCTCCGCTTACACGCTCTCGAGTAAACTTACAGAAGTCTAAATGCTCTCTTGCCCCTATATTCCCCAACCCTGAATTGTCATGTGCCCCGTCGGCGAGCGAATCGGGTCATTTGTTGAGTTAGTGGAAGTCTGAATACTGGAATTTCATGAGTTACAGGATCTCCCTCTCTCTCTTTGGGACATCTGAGATTTCTTTCCGGGTGCTCATTGCTCTTCATTTAGGAAGATAATTGTTTCTGGTACGCTAATAGTCCCATAGCTGTTGGCATTGACGATCTCTCAACGTCACAGCAACGTGTTGAATGGTGGGTCGAAGAGTTCTACGTCAGAATGATGAATGCATCCTCATTGCTGCTGAGCACGTTTAACTAACCGCCTACAAATGGAGATATTTTTAGAGCGAAATCCTCTCCGACAGCGTGTCAAAACTCTAGCTGCCACGAACGGCCCGGGTGGAGGTCCTCCCGGACTCGAGGATGACGCAGCAAATAATTCGAAACAGAGCCGATCGGGATACGATCATGAATATAATCGAGGGATTCGAGGTGACCTCCATACCTCGAACCGAGGCTCTGCGAGAGAGAATGATCTCCTCGTGTCGGGTAGCTTCCCTTCGCGTAATACTAGAAGATATCAGAGCGGCAGATCTCTGTAACTCTCTTTCACCTTGATGGTAGACTCGTTCCCTGCAGTTGGAACTGAAGGCGAATGGGTGTAAATTATGATGGAAAATGATTCCGAGGAAAAGTGCTGAACTCATGCCCATGAGCCAGCGTGTAGGTGTCTCCTCTCCTCATTATCATGATCGGGTGTATTTTCTGAATTCAATAGAGTGGATTTCCAAAGCGAGAAGAGCGGAACGAAATTAAGATACGAGCCGAGGAAACACATTCAACCGCCTGAACATGTACCTCGTGTCCCGATCCGGCATGGAACCGACTAGAATCCGAATGAGAGCTCGACTGGAAGTAGAGGACTCTTCTGAAGACTTCGCCTTTCGAGAAGAGGCACTGGCTTCGTTGCAAGGGCGGGAAGAGTTCGATAACCGGTTATTCGCCACTCACCAAAAGCAAAACAAAATTTGAGATCAATCAAATCAAAGATTTTCGGAGACATCCTCATGAAGAATGGGGTGCATCCGGAAGGCTAAGTGTGTTCTAACTCTCGACGGCTCGAACATCGGTTCTAGTGGCAGAAGCGGTAGCAGTGCATGTCATCTTTCGAAAGAGCGATTCGTCTTCCTCGCAGTGACATGCAAAAAGACACCGTTTCGAAAGTAAGTCGCCATAATAAAATGCGTCGATCGAGCAAGGACCACGCATGTACCTCTTGACGATAAAGAACGATCACATCGAGCGGAAAATGTGACCTCCGGGATTTGCTCCAGATAATATGAAATATCGTACAAGCGCTCCCCCGTCTACGACGTGGGGCTCTAAACGGACTCTCGGGACTTCGATACACCGAAAGTCTACCTCAGTGAAAAAGGCTGTGGAAATTCCGATCGTCGGCGCTGCGATGCCGCACCAAGACGGGAAGAATCGGGTGCATTAAACTCGTCAACACCTCCTCCTTGGCTTCGCCTCATCACCGCAGCAAAGAATTCGGAAGCTTGTTTGTATCGGTGATCGCGCCGCACACATCCTGACAACGACAGCTTCTCTGATGGCTGTCAACCGAAGACAGATTTTTCATCAACGACTTGCTCATAGAAATCATCGCAGACACGGCCTAGCCCACTCCCTCACCCTGCCCACGGGAACGATACGCTATCTCGCAGCGTGCGCGCCCATATTCGGATATTCAGAGGCGGACGAGCGATCTCCCGAGCGAGTGATCTAGATCTTGATGCAATCTGCTCAGAGCACTTGTTACTGCGATACGAGAGCCTTGCTCCTCTGGATGATGAATCGCTATAGAAGTTCTTCCTCGGGTTTATGGACGGGCGATCAGCGAATGGAATAATAACTCCATCATGAGGAGACCGCCTCAGCTTTGCCATTGAATCGGTCTCTCGAAATGCCCTTGGATCGTTCATGGCTCTCTGCCGTATCCTTACAAAGCGATCATATGCGACCGCAGCCGTGAAGAAATTTTTCAGAAAGGCGCTCGTGTTTCCGGTGAGGAATGCCGGTTCGTAGAATAGGAGAACCTTTGTTCGCCGATTCTCCGTGTATGAGGAAAGCGTCGTGAAGATTTCCGCACCGGGCCCTCTACCATAGACGGCTCTCGCTCTGAATCTCACAGTGGCGTCGCTGCTGCTACTGCCGCCGCAGCAGCAGCCTGCATTGGCATAATAGCCGCTAGGTCGGCTGAATCGATTGAAGCAGCGGTCGAGATATTGAAACAGGAAGTCGGTGGACCAACTGCCGGAGAGACAGACGAGCGGGCAAACAGGCAGGTCGGCTGGCACGCAGATACGCTCAGCTTCATGGCTTGGCAATGTGACCACGTGGGCACCTGTTAGAACGCTTTGCCTCGTTTTGCTCGCTGGCCAAGGGTCCAGAAGCTGAGCTCGGCTGTTCGATTGACTGCCCATAGGTAGGTTGCTCGCCTGCTCGCTCGCCGGCTGGCTGGCTGGCTGGATAGATAGGTAAGAAGGTAGGCTGTTCGAAAGGTAGGGAGGCAGCTACAGCATCATCGTCGGCGGCCGTCGCCGCCTCAGCGCCGAGGGTCCGGACCTCGCTCTAAGATCTAACGCTTGGACCCCGAGCTGAATTGGGCTGAGCCAAGCGAGCGGAGAGCCCGGCGAGCGCGCAGGCCGGCAGGTTGGCAAGAAGGCTGGCCGGCTAGCAGGCCTCCCTAGGTTCTCTCGGAAAGGGTCCTGATTTCCCTCCTTAATATGGTAAGGTATGGCACCGTGGTGGCGCTGTCTTTCGTGGTACTAAAGCCTAGCACCGGTTAGCATTCACCACTCGCCCCAGGAGAGTCGTTTGTGCCGTACGGAGTTTCGAATCGGTCAGTACAAGCACCATGTGTGACGACGACGTAGCCGCCCTCGTTGTGGATAACGGATCCGGTCTTTGCAAGGCTGGTTTCGCCGGAGATGACGCCCCCCGCGCCGTCTTCCCCTCGATCGTGGGTCGCCCCCGTCATCAGGGAGTCATGGTCGGTATGGGTCAGAAGGACTCGTACGTCGGTGATGAAGCCCAGTCGAAGAGAGGTATCCTCACCTTGAAGTACCCTATTGAGCACGGTATCGTGACCAACTGGGACGACATGGAGAAAATCTGGCATCACACCTTCTACAACGAGCTCCGTATCGCTCCCGAGGAACACCCGGTCCTTCTCACTGAGCCTCCTCTTAACCCCAAGGCCAATCGTGAAAAGATGACTCAGATCATGTTTGAGACCTTCAATACCCCTGCCATGTACGTCGCCATCCAAGCCGTGCTTTCCCTGTACGCTTCTGGTCGTACCACCGGTATCGTTCTCGACTCCGGAGACGGTGTGTCCCACACCGTTCCCATCTATGAAGGTTACGCGCTTCCTCACGCTATCCTTCGTCTCGATCTTGCCGGTCGGGATCTCACAGACTACCTGATGAAGATCCTCACCGAGCGTGGTTACTCTTTCGTCACCACTGCTGAGCGTGAAATCGTCCGTGACATCAAGGAGAAGTTGTGCTATGTTGCCCTGGACTTCGAACAGGAAATGGCCACCGCCGCCTCTTCCTCTTCTCTCGAGAAGTCCTATGAACTTCCCGACGGACAAGTCATCACCATCGGAAACGAGCGTTTCCGTTGTCCCGAGTCTCTGTTCCAGCCTTCCTTCATCGGAATGGAATCCTGCGGTATTCACGAGACCACCTTCAACTCGATCATGAAGTGCGACATTGACATCCGTAAGGACTTGTACGCCAACACTGTCCTGTCCGGTGGTACCACCATGTACCCTGGTATTGCTGACCGTATGCAGAAAGAAATCACCTCGCTTGCTCCCTCGACCATGAAGATCAAGATCATCGCTCCTCCCGAGAGGAAATACTCCGTCTGGATCGGTGGATCTATTCTCGCTTCCCTGTCTACCTTCCAACAGATGTGGATTTCCAAGGAAGAATACGATGAGTCCGGACCCGCCATCGTCCACAGGAAGTGCTTCTAAGAAGTTGAATTCCATAATCACGACCAGACGTCGACGACGCAGAGGCTGAGAGAAAAATACTACAGCACTAATTCTTTCCATATTTCAACACCAACATGTCACCGGAAACAGGGAAAACTGATCACGACATCGAACAATAAAAGAAAGTTGCAATTCTTTATACAGGACTGTTGGGACTCCTCGTTCCTGTTAGAAGTGCTGGAGCACGAGGGTGGCATATTTATCGGTTGTTCCCACGAAACAAGCTATCGCCGAAGCTGAGGATCAGGAGATGCACAGGGACGGAATCGAGAAGCCTGGGGCGTCTCCTGAAACTTTCCTCAGTATTCGGAATTGGGTTTTCCAGAGCGAGACGAATGCTGATTTGTCCTGTTACTATACAGAGCAGTGACTGTTATTTCGGTCGACTTCATATCTGTCGGCAATCCCGAATCGCCACCGAGAGTACAGGGCACGCGGCCAATTCGAGAGCGATAATAATGTAGGTATAACACATCCCCTGGTATTGTTTCAGCGTCCTCGCATCTCTAGTAGACAAAGCGCTCATCGGGGTCGTTGGAACCCGGAACCGGGCTAGCACCGATCTCGGCCGCTCCGAGAGCTACCCGGGCCGATCTGCTGGCTGAGCTCAGCGAGAGAAGGACCCGTTTGCTTATGAACGCAGTCGTGAAACGCTCATAGCTCTTTGCATCGAGCCTTCTTAGAAGCCCTTGATAGAGGCGGCGGACGCCTAGAGAGCCTCAAGACTCTCACGAGAGGGAGGCCGAAACATGGGGGCGTCTCCGGCCGGTCGATCTTCCATGAACATCGGAAACAGGCGACGAGCTGACTCCTCGTTTCGATTCTGAGGATAACCTGAGATTCTGGAATGATTTCGATTTTGTCGTAGGCTCATCGAATCGTACCAAATATGACCATATCGTCGCTTTCGCCGATTATAATGACTCCGAAAGGATGAGTTTCACAGGCTCCGCGAGGATTTCTGCTGGGGTGGAATCGTGAGGCTTTTCGCTAGAGTAGCACCGTGAGGAGTTCCACTAGGTGTTAACCGTTAAAAGCTTCGCGAGGATCCTCCCATGGACCTTCGGGATCCTCATACCTTTGTGGCACCCCGAACGAGCTTCACCGTCGAGCAATCTGTGGGTGTGCTCACTTCTTCATTGAGGATCAGAGCCATCAAGATCGGGAGGGCGTGCTCTCGGTGTTTGGGCTCTATTTGTTTTGCGGTGATCGGTGCTAATAATTGGTTCTGATGGGATCGGTAAACGGCCTGATGCTTTTCTTCAGAGAATCATTCAATCCATCAGGTTGCCTCACGTGTGTTGCCCTCATTTTTTTCTACTGAAAATCTAAAGTGGAGTTCCACTCCTGACCTCGGTCGAGCCCAACGTCCTTGAGCAAATTGACCCAAGAGAGCTGTTCTTGAGAAAAAATTGCCCGATCAGTCCGACAGGCGGAAGACGGAGGATGTCTTCCGTGGAAATCAAGGCGACCTGAAGAGAGAGGATCTTCTGAAGAAAATGACTCAATCAAAAGAGGGGACCGGGACAGTGCTCGGAAAAAGATCCGCCAACTAGCTTTCGTGGTATAACTCAACTGTCGTATTTATTGATATTCAATACGGTGGAATATGGTATCCGGATGGATACGATGCCGTATCCGATAATCGCCCATAGATGTTACAAACAGAATCTCATCAAGCTTATAATATTTACAATAAGTGAAGGTCGCATAAGACTCGGCGTCTAATGGAGGATCCTCTGTGTGCTATAAGATAAAAACGGCCCGATCTAAATCATCATCGTGAATGAAGCCATCACGACAATGAAGATCAGAGAGAAAACCGCACGGAGGAACATCTTGAGCACTTCGACAAGTGGGTTGCCTGGTTTGCCTTTTGCGATCGGTACTTTCCTCGTCTGCAAAGCGCCCACAATTCGCTCCTCAGCGGTAAGAAGAGCCTCGCGGGCTTTCGGCCATCTACCCGGACCTTCGAGACGGTACTGGTACGGGAGGAGGGGTCCAAACATCAGGGTAGTCCAGAGAGTCGGATCCGTGACGAATAACTTGAACATGTTAGGCTTGACTCCGAGCTCATCGGCCATTTCGTCCATGTAGGGCATCCAGTCGACTTCTATTGTGTTCCGGGGTCCCTCGAAATATCGACTTCTCACGTTCTTCTTGTACGCTTCGATGCTCTTGTACATGATTTTCTTTGAGGGCAGGCTCTGTTTTCCGGAGAAGATCCGGGCGACCCAACGCGACTGGATCTCAGAGATGGGCATCAGAGGTCCGATCGGCTGAGCCATGCCGATAAATGCGAGAGTTGGATGATTAGGGTCGAAAACCATTTTGTAGAGGTCGATCTTGTTCTCCTGACAAGAGATGAGCTGGAAAGAATCCTCGGTTTATTCCTCGAGCCCACATTTGTTCGAAGCCGATTTCGTAGGGGCGCAAAGATCAACGGACGGGGATTTTTTTCGCGCCTGCGACTCACGTTTTCTTCGAAGAATGGAAAACTGATTTTGTATCCTGTGGCCATGATTACGTCATCAACGGGAGTGGATCTCGTTTCTCCTTCGAAAACGATACCATCCTCGGTGAAGCGTTTGATGTTGCCTTTGACAATGACGGTGCCGCTGAGGATACGATTCGGCAGAGCGTCATTCACCATGACATGTTGAGCGAAAATCCTGCAACGCAAAAACCACAAAAAATTATTTGAAGATCGGGGAGCAATACATGCCGTATCGGTCAGCCAGTGTCGCTGTGGCACTCACCTATGAGTGGGTTTCAAGTTGTAAACTTCATGATCGAAACGAGTTTGGATTTTCTGTTCACAGAACCAGCAGAGAAGCTTGTAGGGCAACATGGAGAAGAAGATGTTTCCCAATCGAGTCATTACGCTGATATCGAAGGGCCTGCCATGTTTGCCAACTCTGTGGATCACCCAGGCACCGCGCCGAGTCGACAGATAGACCTGTTCGTCGGAAAAATCTCTCTTCAGATAGATAGAGGAGGACCTCGATAAAGAGTACAAGCCTCAGACAACTTATCTAGCCCAAGAAATATGATAATTTGGGTTCTCTTCCGTCGTCAAAAAATCAGCCCTTGCCCATTCGATAACCCGGCGGCGTAGAAAGGGCTACCCGACAAAAAAGCACATGCCGATAATGAGCTAACGAGCCAGAGAACTTCGTATAATTGAGAGCATTTCTCGGACGAGGACATCGGGAGGTGTTCCATGATCGTAGAAGATGGAACGAACAATATTCCAGGCAAACGACCATTCCGTGATAAGGGCGAGAAGTCTTCGGAGAATCGACGCATAATTATCATCATCCGATCGATACGAAATAGTCAGTGCTGCTGGAACAGCCACGGTAGAGTCTCTCCGTGAGTGTGCGACTTGCTGCCATGGAGACTGAAACCGGCACGATCAGTCAATCATGACTCTCCGTCGGCGGTCCTCCAAGAAAGTCAATGATCTAGCGTCCATGTACAGTATAATGTTTTTTGACACTTGGCTCAATTAGCTCCACCTTGGCATTGGCGTGCCTACCGCTGTCAAGGACGGAAGCGAACGAAACGCGCAGCATTTTCTTCTGATCCAGCTCGTGCGTCTAACAAGCGCTTCCTATCCTCGTATCATAGTCATCAGCGATGGCGGTTGAATGGAATGGCTCATTCGTATGAGTAATGAATACAAGGCTCGGGATGCTCTTCCCGATCGACATGTGTCGACCTTGTGTGCAAATGATTCTTGAAACGCGACCGCTGAGAGTCGAATCTGCATACATAGAAATTGACGGACCTGATCGGCGATTGCGCTGAGTTCGACGGCTGCGTCGCCGCCCGAGTTACCGACGCCTACGACACAGACTTGACGATTCTCGAAGCCCTGAGGTCGGCGGTAATCGTGTGTGTGAATGACGCGCCCTTTGAACTTCTCTTGCTCGGGGAACGTCGGCAGCAGGGGGAAACAGTGATGTCCTGCAAAACAGAAAGCCGAGCTCAAACACATGTGGGCCATCAGGGATAAGGCCACGTGGATCAGATTCGAGCGATAATACGACTGGGATCCGTATTGAGCGTACCGGTGCAGACCATGACGCCGTCGTAAACGTCTTCGAAGATCTCTCCATCATCCAGATTTTTCACCCTGACTACCCAGCGGTGAGTCTCAGCATAGTCGTCAGTCGGTTTCACTGACAACACCTCGTGACGCAGTTTGATGTAGTTTCGCATTCCATATTTATCAGCGTACATGTCCAAATACTGAATCATCTTGGAGTTGTGCATGAAGTTCGGGAACTCCATAGGCGGGGGGAAGTCACTACGATTGAGAAACAGAAAAAAAGACGCTCTTTCAAACTCGGATTACTGGCTCCATCGGAGTTCATATGATCGAAGAAAATTCTGGCACAACTCATTCGGGAGATTGTTGGCAAGCCGCGAAGATCATTGGCTCGATTCCCTAGTTGCATCACAACATGAACGACTTCTCTAAATAGCAACAAGTCGCTGACAGAGTGAAAGCGAAAACGATACGTCGATGGAACGTAGAGACGGCGCCAGCTGCCGTGGGGACGTATTCTTCGAAATTTTTCCTTCCAACACGAGTATAAACCATGGAGGCCTTCACGACATGCTTTGGCGAAGTCACAAATCTTCGCGCGCGCGCGATGCCTTGACATCTGCAAGTCAGCGCAAAGCATCTGATTTGTTGGCCGGGGCCAGAGCAGGGAGAAGGTGAACACAACCCAAGACTCAGAACACAATCCCAGGATATTTTTCTTAGTTTCGGATTCGGAAATCGCGATCCTAAACTCCATGGCGAGGCACCATCGCTCCGCTAATTGCCTTCTTCTTGGCTGTGATGTAACGCAGGAGACGGCGAGACCTTCAGACAGCCCCAGATTCGATGTCAAGCACAGAAGATTTGAGTCGAATTCAAGACTGGCATTACTCGGAGTCAATGGAGGAGAGAATCGATTCGAGGCGAATTCCTAGCACGATTGGACGGGAAGAGCAGCTCAGCGTCACTCTACACTTGGGTGAGATGGTCGACAAAATTGGGAAGCATCAGAAAAGATTTCCGGCTCGAATGCGATAGAAAGTTAGTCGAGAACGATGCAAACAAGCGATATATCTTGAAGGCATGGCTGACCAACAATGGAAAGCGATCAGAGAATAGATTACGGGACTCCTAGATGCGGCTGGGCCCTTCCTCGCACGAGGTGTCCTCGAGAGGCTGTCCTCGACCAGCGTGAACTCGGTCTCCCCATCGCTGCTAATACTGAAGGTCACACGGAGCGAATATCATGGAGATCATCAAAACACAGACATGTATCACCGATGGTGCCGGGGTCTCCCGGTCGTCTGTACCATCAATGGTCTAAATGATCTTCGGAGCTTGTGACAAATTGTCGATATCACAAGAGCGCGGTTTGTGTCGTGAGTTCGATGGAAATCCGCTCACCTGAACGCGGAGATTTCTTTTGATGAGTTGATAATGGTACTTTTCATCACGCCTCCCTTGGAAGATTCAGGCTCGTCGCTGTACCTCCAGAGTCCACCGGTGTCAGATGAACGCTCGAAGCAAACGACGTCCAAACCTTCTTCAACACAAGCCTTCACGGCCGTCATTCCAGACGCTCCCCCGCCTAGAACGGCCACTTTCGGCGCTGGCATGGCTGAAAAAAAGGATTCATTATTGCTAACACGGCCAGGCTCTGGAAACACGTCTGCGAAAGGCTGCGCTGAAGGGTCCTAGGGCCACATCCGGGGGATTCTAGCATCAAACTCTCAACCAGTACTGCGGTAGACTAATCGGATTATCTCGAGAGGGAATCTACGCTATCTTTCTGGATGAATGAGAGTCGCTGGAGTCCCCAATCTCAATGGAAGTAGGTCAGCTGGCCGGTTATCGTGGAAGCCTTTTTTTCCGTTCGAATCCTTCTTGTCGACCTCGTATATGAGCACGGCAGAGTCTTCACTCGAGCCAAGTGATGACCTGGGACCCCTTCTCCTCGAGATTTGAACGGAAGCGCAAATTATTCCAGACGGAAGTATGTCCTCATTCCTCCCGTCGGAAAACTTTCCCCGCAATCATACCGAGAGAAATTCCAGCAAAAACGGGTTGTATGAAAGAAAGGTTACGCTTCCGTGATTCTGATGTACCGTTAGGTCAATACGAGAAGAGAAAAAATGTTCCGTATCGTCAAAGGGAAGACGTGCGCGTTTCGCTTGAAGTCTTCGGCGCTTCGATGCCAACGACCGGACCCCGTTTTGGGTCACCCAGAATCGGAACTTCTTCAACCACCAGCGCTTCTGGCGGCCCAGAGAATGCTGGCGACCCAGAGAATCCTGGCGAGCAGAAAATACTTCGCAGGTGGAACGCTCCTCTCGGTCAGTTTGCAGTCTGAGCCTGAGTCAACACATTGCTCGGGCATGAATAAATACCCCTCAATGATGGTTCATCCGGAATCTCCAATGCGATCCTAAGAAGTAAGATCTCGCAGCTCCTAGCAGAAATATTTTAGATGATTTCGAGGACGATCGAATGAATTCGATAGATTCTTTGCGATCGATCAGCAATCTCTAATCACATGAATAGACGTGTGCCCATAAGGATAGCTATCTCGAGCACTCGTTGAATCATTCCAGCGTCCCATCGGAGCAGTACTCATGGGATATTCAATTTTCGATCTCAGGGGTGTATCCTGCTGTCGTCCAGCCGGCATGTACTATATCGGGGGCAAGCAGCGGGGAACATGCGGTCGTGGCCCGCATTCGCATTTTATCCGGGACGATGGATGGCGGGTACGAAGAAACTAGCTGTCACCGATTTCCGGTAAGGAAGGCAGCCCCGAGGCACTGACATCGGGCCTTCAATGACTTCAACGGAAAGGAACTCACCTTAGGTTTTTCGGTGTTAAGTATCCTCAAAGAAACTAGTCTCCAAATGACTGGGTGTCGGTATCAAAGTGGATCAGCACAACATCTATAGCTCACAGCCGTAATCAGCTCCCTCTTTTTGACGGTGCTGCGCCGCGTAGCTCTTATATGAGCCTCCTTTCCCCGCTCGCCTTTGGAATCGCGGCGCAACCCTCGCAGATCGGCCGATCAACAATCTCGGTGTTACGGCTTCAAGTTCCGGCCCCGGCGTCTGGCTTTCCTTACCCACTGGGCTGACCGAACGGCGGCTACATCAACATGTGGTTTCGACTCATCGATGATCATTAGAATCCGCGCTGACCGGGCTCCTCTAATTTTTCTCAAATCCTTGGGGCACTCTTCTGCGCATGACTTGAAGGCTCTGTCAGTGATTAGTAGGAGATCACGCGGGAGGGACTAGCGACCGGCATGTGCTAGTTAGCTGAAACAGATAGAGCAGCAAGGGCGGGGATCGGGCTTGAGTGACTTCACCACTCCGACGTTCGATGATGACGTAGTTGCTCGCAAAGTGAGCTCATTATCAAAACGAAGATGCCATAAGAGCCGAGTAGATTCATATTTGAGAAGCTTCCAAACAAAAGGATGGCGCGCAGAGATCTCTCCATTGTGAGATGCTATTTCGATCAGTTTTGGAGGGGGAACAGAAAGAACCTCTGATTTCTCTGAGACAGACACTCAGACCTTGAGTTTTATTACCGCGTACCTCGATCGAGCCGCAGCCGATCCGGCCGTAATTTTTCTCTGAATTCAGCATGGGAACATTGCTAAATTGGAGCTTTACAGATACTCCGTCCATCAAGCAAGACGCGGCTCATTGTCCCTCGACGGCCGGATCTATTTTCTGATGAATCTTCGCAGAATTTACTTCGAATTCAAGCTTCAGAAGATGTCGATGAATCACTCATGTAACTCAGGGCCCAACGCCAGAGTGGCAACGAAGCAGCGAACACGACAAGCAGAAATATGGGAATAATCGGCGAGACTCTTGCAACTCCTTCGGAGCGAAATGCTGTTCTTGTTTCCTGGCGACTGTGGCGTGTCACGAATCCGATCTTCCGCTCGAACAAGAGCATTCCGTGCCTCGGACCATTTCCCGAGTCCATTGAGGTACTTCGATACGAGGATGAAGGACAGGAAATCAGTTTGATACAAAGCTCGAAATCCGTGAAGAAGATTCCAGTCTGCTCGGCTTCGCGACGAGCCGAGTGGCTTCCTAGTCGCCCAAGTAAGGAACGCGCTCGGCCTGAACAGTGTCGCCTGGAGCGTTAAAGAATCTCGCTCGAAGCATTCGTTTGTATAATTCAATGTCGGCATACATTCCCTCTGTAGACGGTAACATCGACTTGCCACCCAGCATCCGAAGCATGCGGCGATTTTCTATCTCGCAGATCGCAGGAAGGGTTAGACCTCGGAGGACGACACCCTGGGTCGGATTCATGGGGTCGAGAATCTATTTGTTCAGATTGATGTTGTTGTTGCAGTCGATGAGCTGAAATCGTTGAGGATCGATCAAGACCATCATGCGCAACCTTCTATCAGCGCCGCCTTGTTTTCTCAGCATCGATCTGAGCCGTGAATCATGTCGTGTGTTTCAGCCGAGAAGATGGGATTCCGAGCTTGGTATCAAGCTCCGGAAACGACTTCATGTGCCGAAGTTTCCGCCGATTCGCCTTCGAACCCTCGCTCCGCAGATTGTTCGATCTTACCCTTGACCTTAACGGAACCGCTCAGAATGCGCTTCGGAAGACAATCCGAAATTCGCGGTCCACGAATTCTGTAAGGATCTCTCCGGAATTGGCGCATGTATTCGTCGGAGTCGAATCGTGTCCTCAGGGACGGTCGGACAGTCTCTCCCACCAATGGGCAGGCTCCATTTTGTCAAGTTCATGGTCACAGGAATGCTTAGCGCTTTTAGATGCGGGCACTTATGTGGCTCGACTATGGAGTTGGGCATGGAGGAATCTGCGCTCCCACTGGAGGCTTGTGTGTCGAAGTTGGCTCCTTCCTCGAGCGCGTTTATTGACGCAGCATCCCCTGCGAGCGGACCCCTACGTCCAGTTGGTCTAAACTTGGAAAACGATCGAACTCGCTCGATATTCATGAAGATAATCTTAAGGGGCTAGATATTGACCGCTGATCACTGTTCTCGGTGGACTATCTAGATTAGCTGCTCCCTTATCCGCGGATAAGATAACTGAAGATCTGACTTGTTTCCTGTCCTGGGCGCATATCGCAGGGCTAAATATAGCCCTGCGAAGATCAATGGAAGAAGCCAGAAAACGACTCCATAGACCCTGACCGTCTACGAACCCAGAACCTTCACCCAGCATCGCGTTTCCAATATGGGTCAAGTTCCGGAGCCTTTGAATAGAGCTGTGAGGGCGCGGAGGACATCCGAGCGAAAACCGGAAATTTCCAACAGACGTTCGTGGTTGAGGGAGAGCGAGCTGGAACTCCGTAGATCTACAATCCTCACCATCGCTGTCCTACGAATTCTGCAGATAGACGGCGTCTTCTGTTGAAGCCGCAGAGAATTTCACAACTGAGCCAAGAGAAACAGGTACGCTGAGAAGATATCGTGAGATCCTTTCGTTTCCACCGCATTCCATGGAGTCCGCGTTCGTCGGGTGCGGAATTCCATCACAGCATCGATTAGCGGGCCATTCAGGAGCGCTTCGGAAGCGATATAATCGTCTGCTTCGCGCGATGATTGAAGTCTTCGGCTCCCTACTCGGAGCTTTCTTGGCTTAGATTCGGTGATCTTCATAACTCACTCCGATTTCCCCAGAGCAGAGGGAACTCGTCGCTCTGTAGAGCTTCTTTCAGCTCCGGTATAATGCATCGGAGCCTATGGGAAGTTGTGGCGTTCGGCGGGAATTGCTTCAAAAACGTGACACCTTCGACACGAACAAGATCGAGCCTGGCTCCTCAGGGAGTGCGCTCCCGAGTCATCGGACAAGCACTGCCGTTCCAGACTCAGGGATTCCGATCATCTAGCCGATTCTAGATCCCCAGCGCCCGGTATGAGCTTCGCCCCGGAGGCCTCGTAAAGGGGGGGGGGGGCGTCGAAAAAAAAGGCAGATCCGACGCGCTCCGTTCCCACCATCAACTCTGACGGTCCATTGGATCATCTCCGAACGATGCATGGACTCTGGGAAGTGAGTCGAAAGCGGGAAGTCGCTGTCGTCATCAATTACGTGACTCGACCGGAAGTTATGAAAGTTCGACACTGTAGCAAACTTGGAAGCCTTCTGGGTCGTGAGTCGTGACGAGAGGGAGCCGAGGCAATCCGTAAGCCGACATCTTCCTCGACGCGCTAATTATGGTGTTCCCCTTGACTCAGACATTTGTTTCATTGAGCTCCCTTGCATAAGGCGTTGCTGCCGATTGACTGCACATTGCAAAGGCTCGGTCGGAGCAGCATCGTCTCGTCGACGCACGCTCCCGAGGCAAAGGGAGCAACGATCGTCGGTCGATGAGTTGGTGCTCGAAAACCACAACGTACTGAAATCATGAGACATCTCTCCAACTGCCATCAATCTTGACGGTGAATGGACGAGGATGAGCTCCTGGCAATCGTCCTGAGAGCAGCCGTGATCTCCCTAGAATTAACGGAGTCCCGTCATCATCCCGTAAATCGGGTCCCAGGGAGCGAATCGATTCCAAGTTCCTGGAGGTAGATCCGATTGTGCTCCTCGCAGCGGATTCTGCTATGATCTCTCCAGAAACTATGATGGATCACGGTTTCGTGATCTGAGACTGTTGCTGATATACCTACGATTACGAGCTATTCCGTCAAGCATCGGCGGAATTGAATGCTTTTCACTATCGGAATTCACATCATTATCATCCTCGAAAGCTCAATCCTCCAATACAGAGAAAACCATTTCTACTCTATCTTACAGATGGGGGACCGATTCTGATCCGAACGCGTGCGCTTGACTGGAAGCCAAGACAGCGATAAGTTTCGAGTTCCGAAGAATCGTCATCCGGCATCGAATTCGTGAAGACTGACTAAACCCTCATATCGAAGCTTCTTTTCCGCTTGTTTGCAGTAGAGCTTGCAATGCGTGAGCAAGAAAGAAGGCATTCTCTCATTGTCAGCCTCGAGGCCGATGATTGCTCGTCAAAGCGCGAATCGGAGTCTTGCTAAACTGAGAATCTTTTCTGAACCCATCCAACGTGACGAGTGGGTCCGCGACTCGATGGCGGCCATGCAACTCCTTTGCTCTGTTCTTGGGGTGCCATCTCCCCCTGGACTCGGAGACGCCGTCCCGGTCCACCCACTGATGGTCTACGTGATTTCAGTCATGTGAGCGGAACCCAGAGAAGCCGTTGCCCAGAATGAAGATCCAGCGCTTTCTTCCCGGCGTCGTGGCGGCCAGCTGGCTCGATTCCGTTTCGGAACACGTAACCGAACGCCGATCGCGGACGTGCGAGCAGGGACGCCGTCGGCGCATCGCGCACAATACGCATTTGCGTCAGCAGGTGTGACTTGAGCGGAACTCTTCGGTAGAATTCTACGTACGCTGAAGCGCTGATGACGACCGGGACGCCCTATTTTGGGCGTGCAACATTGTCGAACGAGAGTTTCATGGATGTGTTTCCGAAGAACAAACTCAAAACGCCCCATGGCATAGCAGACGAACGGAGAAGAAACCTTGCAAGAATCCGCAACACACCGCTTCTCTTTGTGTCTGGATTACGACCCAGTCTTTGAAGGCTAGAATGCTCCGATAGTTCTGAGCCTGCTGAGAAGAGCTCGCGGAGGGAGATGAGAGAATTCATTTTGAGACTCGGCAAACAACGCCGAAGTTCGATTCAGAAATTCTATCTCGTCCCCAATGGCCAGGATATGTTCGCGCCTCGAGCTCAATCACAGCTCTCAGAAAGGGACGAAGAGCGTTTGTGTATGCATGGGAGAGAGGGTGTCTGCTTCTGAAGTTCAAGCAAGCACAACAATCACTTCGGGGTTCCGTGCCACTGTGATGACTGAATGCATCGCATAGAAGTGGGACAAATCGATGTCACGATGACCGACCGACATCGAAAGGAGGATCTATCTGAGTTTTGCTTAGCTCGCGCTCGGCCTTGGACTCGCTTTAGCCGCCTCGATATCTTCTTTTGTTAACCGCTCCGACAAGTGGCAGTATCTGAGCAAACAGGGCAAATAGTGAGGCGATGCCATTCCGTTCCGAGTTGAGGGTGCATCGGGCCCGCGTCTCTGCTCTTCTTACTGGAGCGCATTCCATCGTAATTTCCCCCCACAGAAAAATCATAATTTCACTCTTTTCTATTATGGCGAATTGATGACAACGCCCCGGCATCGGATTCGAGAGACGATAATGGGCTCAATAAAGCCTCATTATATATCGTTGGCGAATTGCTTGTTATGAAGGAATCCCGGAAAACCCACCAGAGAGACGAGCGTGAACGATCTCAAACAAAAGACATCGACCAAGCCCAGAGAAATCGGAGAGCGAGTGATCTTTCGGGGATGAAATTCTCATTCGGAAAATTTCCGAGGCGAATAATATCTGAGGTTCCGGACTGACTTCTCGGCTTAGGCGCGATCGAACAATAAAAGGCACATATGAGTTTGGAAGCATTGCGGAATCGCCCGCGAACCATCTCGATGAATGGACGCTCCGAGTCTATGGAAACTCAGGATGAAACCGGGATGGTTCGAGAGAAAAAAATATCACAAGAGCATGCCTAATTCAAGAGCGAAAACGGTTCCCCAACAATAGCTACAAATGGTCAAATCTCGTGGATGCCGCACCCTCAGTGAATCAGGTGGGAGTTTGATGAAATTCGGCATTCCGAGTGTGCGATAAGTCAGAATCTGTTCTCGGCTGACCGCATTAGTGACTGTCACTCGCGGGGGCGGACGAGTCCCGCTGGCTTTCGCAGCCTGTAATCTAGTACGTTGACATTTAGGGATCGCGCTCATACTTTGCTCGATCAGGTGATCTGTGAGTGACCAAGTCGAAATCTATTGGGAATAACATTGTGCTCGAGTGCAACGCATCGAAGTTTTTAGTTTGTCATCCTATTTGAGCCTCACCGCCCTCGCACTCCCGTCGAGGACCACAGTTTCCGGTGCGGATTCGGGCCGTCTCCGGTACGTGAATCCAGATTACGACCTGATGGGTTCGAACTCTATAACCCATCGAGATGCTTCTCGGAACCTCGCTACCGAGTGGAATTGATTCTGTTCTCAGACCTGAGCGTCGGCTCTAACTTTTCTCAACAAGGAGTTGCGCAGGTCGAAAGCTGATGTTTCGGGCGATGGTCAATTGTTCAGAAAATGAGTTTCACTCCCAAAGAAACAAATAATACTCGCCGAGAATTCCCGGACTCAGAGTTTTTCCCCGTCAAGTTCCCCGAGCATATCTCTTCTAGCTCCCAGTAGAATCCAAAAGCTCTCTACGGAAGCTGTGCAAAAGCAATATCCCGAAACGATCATCAACTTCGAGAAGCTCGTCAGTGACGCCTAGCTGACGGCCTCGATTCCGGCGCGAATGTTCGAGCCGATCTGACATTGTGCTTTTGACACGCTCTGAATTGATCAGACGATCTTGAAGCGATGAGAGCCCTTCCACCACACTCGAATCGAAACTCTGCAAAAGAACTGACGTCGAATCCATGCCTCATACCGACAGAATCGCCTACGATGCTGCTTGCCGTATTATTCGTAATCGGGACTATCTTGCGAACAGAATGCTTTCTCTTCGGAACGCGGAGCAACGCGCGCCAGCGAAACGTGAGTCTGGAATCCTGCGGTAATGCGCCGGTCTCCGGGGGAACTTGCAGTATCCGGTTAGACTTGGTGGTCTATGGATGTGGAAGCGTAGTATCAAGCCCTCAAGTACTACCATGAGAGTCTCCCAATACCGATCTCGACAGATGCTTCTATTGGGGCAGTACGGTTCTAGGGAATACGAGACTCTGCGATGGATGCCAGGCCGCATATTCTTTGACATGCAAGCGATCATTCGGAAATTTTCGGTTGCAATGGATTTTGCTCGAAAACGCCAAAAAGGTTCCTCGATTCTTTACAGGTTGTGTACTACGTGTGCTTGAACTACGAAGCCGTGGATTCCACCCAAGCTGTGAGTTCTCCAGCCCCGACTTCGTTTAGCTAGCCCAATGAGGATTCTGTACGCTTTGAAGTTCGCCGAACTCGCGCAGTATTTCCAGCAAGGACAATATCATTCACGGCTCCACTACTTATTCGCCTGATGTTTTCCTAACGCGTGGGGCATGGCGAGTTTTCTGAGAAGGTCTATCGGCTCGGCTCTGGGAGAAGAGAGATCCCGGTTCTTCCGTGTCTGCGTGGAAGCAGCGGCTTCGCCGTTCCAATTCTTCCGCTCCGGATCCGAGACTCGGGTAGACTAGCCGTCAATATCCAAGATGTTCAGTTTCCAAGAATAACTGCTGCGAGGTCCGCACCGATTTTTGAATTCTGCTGCGGGTCATCATCGTGGTGACTCCGAACATCCATTCGTAGTCTACTTGGGACAATTCTGCGGAACTTCTCTTCAATATTTATGGGATCATCTTCTCGGGTTACTCAGATTCCAGATTTGCCTCAGCCTTCAGGTTGAGAGTGTCCGGTGTTAGCAGACAAAGCAAAGCGGCGATTTGCAAGGGTCGACACAAAAAACTCAGATTGCCTGACAGAACCCTTGACCCTCGAAAGTTCGGACGTTCAAGGAGGGTCGTCCTGACGCTTCCAGAAGATCAAAACCCGAGAGTCGCCGGAACCGCGTCTCCGGAAGAGCGTCTATTTTCGTAGTCCATCTGAGCGAGGAAGGAGCTTCCTCTCCGAGAAATGAGATCAAGATTCGTCGTGAACGATCGCGACATGAAATCATGCATCCTGTGATAAGCGAATAATTTAGAATTTTGATGGTGTGCGCCTAGATGATCAAGCACGCTCAAAAATTGCGCTCATGCGACGCTCGCTGCGACGTGAGCCAGCCGGATCAGCGCAGCCGATCAATTAACAATGAATCCTCATTGATAGTATCAGAAGCTGAAAAGTCTCCTCTCTGACGCACTGGAGTCGCGGGATTGTCGTCATCACGAAAATGTTTCCATTCATTGATGAAACACTGAGCAATATTAATGAGCCTCGATCTCCGATCACCTGTTGACTCAAAGTGCCGCCGCGAAAAAACGTGCTTCTTGATCGGAAGCAAGATCTTTGAACCGGGCAAAGAGATCCGGGCGTCAAAGTCGATCGACGAACCAGAGCCTCGAATATTCTCATAGCATCATCGAGGAGTGGCTTTCCCTCGAGGACAAGGAGTTTCTCGCGGGCGAAATCCAACGAATTCTTCTGTAAATGAGACGTAAACAAGATTACTGGATGAGTTGATCAATATCTGCGGGAATCCGAAGTTGGGACGGCTTGCGCAGGATGCCAATAATCGAAACACGGAGCTGTGGACGTCACAGTGACTACGTCACGAACGACCGAAGAAGGTCGACACTTGGATTCCAGCGGCGGTCTGCGGTAGCGATCTCTCCTGCCGACGCCGCTGAGGGCTCACCGTACGTCAAACGACGGGATATGTAGAACACGAGAGCACCCGATAGGAACCATTTGACAGTTGCGCAACTGACCCCGGGTGGATATTCTGCAGGCACGTGAGCAGTGCAGCAGAAAATATCGTCCGGGAGGCCGAACCAGAAGTTCTTGTGGAAAGGCCAAGTTCACGGCCGGAGTCCCACCACTTGCATTAGGCAGACGGAAGGCGTTTTCATGAAGACGAACCGAAGTTGAATCACTGTTGACCAGTGCCAACTGCGGTATTTATCGATTCTGCGATAAAATATCACGACAACTATGCCGCGGGGAATTCCAATGGCGCGAGCTTTGGCATCTTTCTCCCTAATTTTCTTTTCTGTGTTCACAGAGTGAATGCGTCTACTGTCCCCAAAGACAGACAGTTGCCTGCACAGGGATTGTAAGTTTTCAATTCATCGCTGGGAATCATCATTCTATAGCATCGATTCCACTGATTGGCTCTTCACTGACCTCCGCTTCGTTCCGCAGTCCGGACCCCCGCTCCAAGTGACGCGAACTCAGGCCACCTGTCTGACAACCTATTGTTCTTCCGGCGTGTTGGTGAGCCAGGCGCGAAGATTTTTGAATATTCCCTCCCACGTCTCCATCATAGATAAGCGTCGATTGCGCGAAGGGCCAATCGGGCCGGAGACCAGTTCGGATTATACGATTTCAGCGTTGGCATGGATTTTTTTTACACATGTTGCTCTGTCGATACAATTGCCTCGCCGCTGACGAGTCACGTGATTCCCTGATGGCATTCCGGCGGCGTTTTCTGAGCTTTCAGGCTCAGCCTCTACTTCGGATTTCTCTGAGTGAGAATCGGAAAATACCCACCGATAGAAATCCGGTAACGATTCCTCGCGTCCTGCCTATACAGAAGCAGAGGCTCGATAAAGCAGCTGGCAATTCGTCTAATTGCCCGAGATTCGGTCCGCATAATCGTTAGCTCGTGGCCAACCGTTGCACTCGAAGAATTCTGCGACGCATGATCATGCAAATGATCCGGGTAGACGATTTCCGTAGGCCCACCGATGTGGCGAAGGCCGGCGACTCTTCTCGCTCGTGGACCAGGCTCGAGCGAAGCACGTGAAAGGGCCGATGTATACGACGGCTCCAAATGAATTTCAGGGACAGAACGCACTCAATGGAAACGCAGTACCGGTCAGTCAACGCCGTAGACGGGATGCTGAGCCCGCGGGCTCGATTACCGCGCTACAGGACATCGAATCGACAGTACTCCTGAACGACTCGGAATCGTGAACCAGTGATCTGGACTACCGGTGTAAAAACGATTGCAGAAGAAAGAGAACACGACAGCCTTCATACGATATTCACCGTAAATTCTTCTATTGATGATCGCCGCGTTTTCAATGGTTTGCAATAGTGATCGGCCTGATCTCAGGGAGAATTCGCGATGCAAGTCTCCATTACTCAGTTCGAGTCTCGAGAGCCTCGATTCCGCGGCAGGAGTCCGCAACCTCCTCGATTGACGACTTCAGTCTCACAGCTCGCACTTTTGCAGAATCTCCTGCGCCCCTTCCGCTCCGATGGTTTCCATGCGGTCGGCAAGCATCCCCATCAAATGTCGGGCGTCTTCGTTATCGCGGACCTCCGTCGCTTTGCCAAGTTCTCGACAAGCTTCTCGAAGTTCGTCGTCGGCGAATGTCTGGAAAGCGTCTCTGTTCCATATCTGATAATGAGTGATTCAAATCAGCTTAATTTCTAGGACGGAGCCGCTGAAATAAACGAGGACGTACCTCCATCACGACAGCGACGAATTTACTCGGCAAAAAGTGGCGCAAAGCTTCATTCTCCGAAAGTTTGGCAACAACTCCCATCTCGGATCTTATTCTATCATCGATGGATTCGAACGAGTGCTGCACGGCAATTTCAGCAAGCCTAAATCGTTTTCTTACTACATCACTGAAGGGCAGCGTCCGCCTCCTGTATTCGTTCAGGAGCTCTCGCACACGTCCTGCGGCGCTGTGTTTGATGTAGTCCTTGAGGTAGTGTTGCAAACATTTCAGATCGTCGTTCGCGAGGGTGCCGACTACTACGGTAAAGAGCAAAATGAAGACCACTTTCATATCCGCACTTCCTCGACTGCGATGGTGGGATTTAAACTCCAAAATGCATGACTCGAATCCATGGAACATTCACGCGTGTTCTCATGACAATCGGTCTTACATCAACGTCAGTGTATCATCGAAAGGCACAGAGAGCGATGGCATATTCGGGGTTTGCGCGAATCCGGAGCTTATCGTGTCCAAGTCGGTCCGATGGACTCCAGATGGCTTCCCCGGAGAAATTAATCATTCAGAATTCGCTTCTACCGCAGTTTCGAGGAGCGAATGAGCTGCCCGAACACCCCCGATCGTGAGCTATGTGCCCATTGCGCATGCATAAGTCTTTGCCTAAGGATAACTCGCTTAGCTGACTGAGTGCTCCGTGAATTTATCCGCAGTATCCACTGAACGTCTCTCGTTCGGAACGCTCTGGGAAATCCAATCGAGGATCTCTCCTACCGACACCAAGAACATGATATTGAGTCCGAAGCCAGGAGAATCTTCGTCGTGGAACAAGGAATCAGTTATTGCGGACCTGATTATCTTTTCAGCTCGCTACCTTCCAAAGCCGAAATTCCCCGCGGCTGGATTCCTCAAAGAAAAATATATCTCAACAGAATCTCATTAAATATGTTATGAGAAGTGAGAGAAACCATCTCCAGCCATGGTCGACCTTGTGAATGAGTTCGGGCGGGTCGATAGAAGCGCCCTCTGTACGACCACGTCTCTTCCGAAATGTCTCTCTTCAAATCGCGGAGTGAGCCCATCGCAGCGACGGACCGAGTATTTCTCCTCATCATCATCACGGACGACGGGGAGAGGGCGGCGTTCGCCCGAATTCCCCCCCCCCTGGATCCTCCGCTGAAGTTGTGAGAACGGTATTTCCTCACCGAAACTGTGTAGAGAATTCGAGAATCTTCGAACACGGGCGTCGGATGCGGCGTCCCGTGAGAGCTGCGCGCGAAGCACGAGTCGATCTCGGTCACTCGAAGTTCGGTGACTACCCATTGATGCCCATGCAAGCTCATTTCCATCCGGAGCTGATATCTCCGGGGACACGGACGATCACCTCCTGACGAGCTCCGTTAGGTTACCCTTATGATGGACGAGGATGAACCGATTCGAAGATAAATGAGGATGTGAAACGAACGGCATGTGCCATCTCCATTCGACGCGCCGTCTCGATCATCGGCATGAATGGTTCTCCAAAAAGCGTCTTGAGATTAGTGATTAGACCAATTTCTGCCGGACGCTCCCCGGAAGCAAAAATGTTTCTGAGATAGAGGAATGTTAACTTTCGAGGTACCAAGCTCATGGAGTAGCCCCCCGCGCACGATTCCGCGGCATATCAGAGAGGACTCCGCCTCCCAGCGCGGTGGACTGCTGGTGTTCTGGGATGGTGGTCCTTTTTTCGAACTCGACAATCAGTGAGAGCTAATTGCGGGAGAAGTCCTCACTCTGCCCCCCTCGGTCAAATGCTCGTCTATTGCTGGACTCTGAAGTCGGAGTTGAGTATCGATCGCGCTGGATGTTCCACCGAACAGACCCGATCTCCAGTGTAGGTGATGATTTCCTCGCTCCACCGCAGAATCGAGTGGCCTCATCGACAAGTCTAGGTTACCCAGGGATGTCCCGAATGACAAGTTGTTCTCGAGAATAGAAGCTGAGGGAATCGTAATGATCCAAAGGAATCTCTCCTGAGGAAAGCCTCGGTGCGGCGCACCCTGACTCCATTCACGTCTCCCGGGGAAGTAGTCTACACTTCATGCAGACTCTCTGTATAGGATACGACACCTAAAAAAATCAAGATATGCGACGATTTTAAGACCTTAAATGCGGCTGTTTCGGAATCTTTTTTTTTATTAGAGAATATGGGTTGAGCAACACTGCGAACCCTTGTTAAGAAATTCACAAGATCACATATTTTGATTCATCTCAATAAGCTCAAGAGATTGAGAAGTCCTCTGGAGTCGCCTACGGTGAACATCGAGCTATTCCTCACCAAAAGAGGAACCGGGAGTATTGTTAAAAGGGTTTCTAAACCCAGTTTCGGGGGATCAGCACGCTGCACGAGACAGTCGGGACCCTCCCGAGATTGCACTTCGAATGAATCGGATCCTTCGCGGAAATTCCCTCCGAGAAGATGAGAAAACATTCCAGTCCACAGGGTCTACAGGGACGAATTCCATTCAACTCCATATAACAACTCGTTGAAGGAACCCCCTAGACACTTTGGATATGTCAAGATCGTAGGGGAAGTAATCCGGCCAACTCCTGGTGGAATCGAAGCCGAGAACGGCAACCGGGTGGCGATTCACTCTCGATACCCTGTGGGGAAATAAAAGCAGAATTTATCGAGCGGATTGTTCGAGGCAGCCGAGGCGAGGTTCAGTCACAATCAGATCGGTCAACTCACCCTTCACCCGTCAACTTGTCCAAGAACCTCAGGTAGGAACTCCGGAGGTTATGGGGCTCGAGAACTCCGCTGAACAACATAAATCCGCAACTCAAGGCATATATTAACTCTCTGCTGAATGGAACATCTGGCAGGATCTTCTGCGACTGTCCAATGAGGTAGTAAACCTGTAACCGGATACAAAACGAACAAATGATTTGCATGGAATGATTTGGAATGGAATAGTGGATCGGTTTGCTCATAGAACCGTCCCCGTTAGCATCCATTTGCAGTTTTTTCCTATGAACGTCATGATTACATGAATCCTACCTCGACAGCTTTCCAGAAGACGTACAGCGAAAGACTTCTGTTTCTAGAAACTCCCATCCACGAAGCGCTGACGAACATCGCGGCCGCGCGAGATAACTGATCATCCGCTTTGCGTTTGCGAAGCAAGCATCGTATCAAACGGAATGATGCTACCATGCCACCCAAGCTCACGCCTTGCTTAGCATTATTTCGATTGAGGAAAATCTCGAGCAATTGACTGGGATTCTTCAATAGCCTGACGGGGTTCCCGGCGAACGCAGAGAGCGCACATCGTCCCAAGTAACCCACGAGGAAGGGTTTAACGAATCCGCTCGTAACGTAACCCGCACAGGCATTAGGGTGGGGACACGCTCTTGGGGCGGCTGAGTGGAACTCCTGTTTCCCGATGAGGAATGACAGAGCCTTTGAGATAGGATCTTTTCCGCTAGATTCACTGAAAGCGACGAGAAGAGGTTTGTTTTTCGTGATTCCACAACGTGCGTTATTTCGATGCTCTAGAGCAGCGGTTCTCAACCTGGGTTCCGCGGAACCCTGGGGTTCCGCGAGCCCCTGCTCGGCTGCTCAGACTTTTATTAATTGTATCGGATTGGAATGATTTTTCTGAGCTCTAATGCATGCAGGATACTTCATGCGATCGTGGTCGAAGGTTTTGAGGTGTTCAAGGGGAAAACTTGGAAAGATAGAGTCTGAAACCAATAATAAGGGTTCCGCGGAACCCCACAAGGGTTCCGCAGGGCAAAAAAGGTTGAGAACCCCTGCTCTAGAGTCGATTGATATGACGACTCACTTGAGCAAATAGGCGTGGCCCGCCAGACCGGCTGCGAGGAGCAGGATATCTCCTCCGGGAACAGAGGGTATGAAGCCTCGACTCGATAAAAAGTTGAATAAGACTTCGGAGAACTAGAAAATACGACGATCAGCAATCGTGGCCCTCCCGACGAACGGGGAGAACTGTTAATATTCGAGCAGGAATATTCACTCACGATATTGAGCATGTAGACGGAAAGCATCTTCCGTCTGTTCGGCCTTTCGATGAATATGGACAAGAACGACGCGAGAAATCCAGCGACGAAAACGGTCTGTTGTAGGAACAAACGCGGTGTTGATCTCCTGGGAAGGAAGGAGCTCCTTTGATATCGAGCCATCCACGCTGGATGGGAGGGCTGACCATCGGTCTTTTCGCGAGCTCGCGGCTGACTCACCGAATCATGCATATGAAGAACAGGAAGAAAAACGCATTATAACTGAGGAATACTGAGGAACGTGCTGCGGATTGCAGGGTCTGCACGAATGCTCCTATAGAGATCTTCCGAGCTAGGACCAGCTGGGCGAACTGCAACAATCAGAATTCAATACCCACGCGGGCCTTCCGGATATCGAGCTACGGTCATCATATTGAGTGGAATTTTCCGGCGCAGTCCTCATTTCTTTACCAAATACAGAGCTCCGTAGACCTTTCCCGATTCACGGAGGCTCGCCAGGAATAGGTATGACCAAGCGTATGTGCACGAAGGCGTCCATGGATGAGCGATCTCGTAACAATTATAATCCAAGGAAGAGGTCAGTTTCGAGAGCGCAGTCATTGCACACCTGAAAGGAGAGGCGATATTGTATTTATAATTTTCTGATCCTTAGGCCGTCGCCCGGGCGATACAGTGACGATGAGGGAAAGAAAAATTGGGCTCCGCCGGCCTTGTCTGGCCTCGGACGTCGTCGTTTCTCGAGAGGCGACCTCCAACCATAGCAGACGTAGGGTGCGTGTTTTCGATGTCTTATCAAATCTACGATAGAATATGATTAGGCACCCGCGAGTATCTATTTTCCGCGAAAGCCGAATCCCTCCGAAACTCGCTACGACCGGCTTTCCTCGGAATGGCTCTCTCCCGGGTCAAAGGGTAATGACGTGAATTCTGGCAGAGGAGAGGGAATGAGTACGCCGCCAGGAAGGATCGCTCTAATCTTTACTCGGAAGCGTCCTTCACGGGGAAACTGGTTCCAGGGGGAGAGCTGGCCCGCAACGGATGGATAGTTGCCAATTGATTCGAATTTCGTCCCGAGGTCCGTTCATGGCATGTCGAACGCTCCTCCAAGTTTTTGCTGAGAGCCGTAATCCCCCAAAAACCAGCTCTTTATAAGCACGCCGCCAGCAAATCGGCAGCACCTCTAGCCAGTATGCCAGCTGGAATCATACGGTAGTCCCTTACACCATATATCACAGGAAATCGCAGGAAAATAAAGTTGCGGAATTAGTTGCCGTCGATTGTTGCCATTTATCCACGGAGGAAGACTCGGGGCGTCATTAGAAACCAAACAACGTCAAGACGTCGATCGATACCGGCAGTCGAGAACAGCTGGCCAGGCCTAGAACTCACCTCGGAGGTTTCGATTACAGAACACAAAAATACAGCTTCTTTTGTTTACCTCGCAGGTGTGGAACGCGGCTCACGTATTACTTTCTCGGCTGCGAACACAGACGAACTTTATGGGAATTCCCGAGAATCTCGAAGCGTCCAAGTTCAAGACCGACAAATATCCGCCGCTTCACTGAAGACTACGAGAGCAACCCACGGGTGTTTGACGTGAGGGTTTCGTCAATGGCTTAGGTATCAGGTATGACTTTCCGCTTCCAACAACAAGTGGGAGATCAGCTGATCGAGACGTTGTTCGATGAGGTGAGGAGCGGAAGGGGGAAGGAAGAACGTCGTTCTCCGGAATGCAAGAGCAGAAGACCGTCGTTTTCCGAAACACAAAAACGTATTCTGAGAGACACGCTACTGAGGAAGTGTGCGATTCCACGGAGGTCTACGTCCCGAAAAAACGAGCAGAAAGAAATGTCGTAATCGAGATCGAGATCCCCGTGAATCCGTGAAGTGGCTAAGCACGACTATGCTGATGATCTTTGTGTGGTGCTGGATATCCACCGGGCTATCCCTTTACCTACTCCTCACTCGTTCCTGTTCCAGGAATGGAGGCTTCTTTTCTCATTGAAAATGTTGAGTCCCTGCCCAATGCTTTAGCTTTCTCGGCCGGCTGAGTTTGAACCTGTTGCCTGAAAACTCCCGTACCTATTGCTCGAGCTCCAGTCGGCGATGAAGGGCCTTCGCAGCCAGAAAGGAAAGGACTCAGTCAGTTCCGAGTATTGATAGTCGGCTCCTATACCTATTAGAACCCAGGGATAGGTGTCTAAAACCGGTCAGAGAGGCTCCTGGAGGCCGAGGAGAACTCGAACCGTCCAAGTTCATCGAGATTGAATGAAGTGCTCGCGACTCACAATTCAAAACTTCATGAAATATCAAGATTCATGATTGATTTGAGGTATTCATCAAAGCATTCTATCATTGGATTATTCTGATTCTGAAAGGTCGGTCGACTATTCTTGTGAACTTCCTGATGAGCATTCGGTACCGAAACTCAAGGGAAGAGATGTCTTACGATAAAAAAAAATGAGATCCAATTGGATGCTCACGATCCGCAATCGAAGTCTCGAATTAAGGTCATCGGATTTATTAGATCCTCCCCATTGATCTTTTTTCCCTTCAGTGGTGTGCTGTCCTGGGCTGGGAGACCCTGTCCCTCCCCGAGGGGCCACGTCGGGGTCGATTGGAGAGTCGCGCTTCTGCTGTCGCTTCTCGATGCTCAGTATTTCTGCTCTTAAGAATTCTAAGAGTTGGCATGTATTTCGACGGTTTTATTCCCACTGTCCACGATCGGTAGGAGCACGAGAGATGCTCGCAATCAGATAGCCTGTGTTAAGAATCCTCAGAATGCAGACTATCTTCAGGCTGCCGAGAGACGGGCGTTGAGAAAGTTTTGTGAGATAAGACCGTGATGATCGATGATCAATAATCATGGGTCATGTCTCAATGTGATGATCATGTCCATTCGTATTCACGACGTGTCAGTCAACTTGTGCGCATCGAGGATATCACCCGACAATCAATGTTGTCGAGAACCTCATGCAATACATCAATATCTACCGTTCCATCTCCTTCCTGCCCCACATAGGAGTACACGGAGCTTCTGCGAAACTTCATAGAGCTCAACTTATTAATGGTACCTCGACCACCTGCTCCCAAGGCCGGCCTAGAGTTTCCTCGCTATGGTCTCGCACCACACTCAGTTGATCACCTTCCTCCTTCCTCGCGAAAGCGGACCAGCCGCCGAGTTCTCAACAGCGCGTGCGGGTAGGATTCGCGCGGTCGATCTGCCCGTCGGAGCCCTGATGACGACGGTAGCATGGATGTCCTAACGTCAGATGGGGTTTCGAACTCTCCTATGAGCTTCTAAGCGATTAGAACCCACACCGCAGCGATCATTCGGAGGAAAATCCGGGCCGTCCGTGAGTTTCGCCGAGATCATCGTCGTCCATTCCATCATCATCATCTGTGTTATTATGGATCGGATCTCAGCGTGATCCGAGCTCGATGTGCTTCGCACTAGAACTTATCTCTCGGCGTTTTCCGTTGTCCGTCGTTTTCGTTTCTCGAGGGAGTATGCTGTATACGCCGCCCGTGCCATAGTGCAAGGGACTCCATGACTCCGTTACTCCATCCCGAGGAAACGCATGTCTGATCGTGATCACGTGACCCAGCTCGACCAATCACTGACCCTCTTTCTGATTTCGAATAAAATATCGGCATTTACGGGGAAACTCGTTGCATATCGTCCGTCTAGCTGCCCGGGGACAGGGTCTGAGGGTCCAGGGTACTCGATCCGCTTCCAGAGTCGAGATTTCCGCGTAAAATTTCGAGAGATCCGAAGGTTTTCTCCCGGGTGCCGCCAACACAAGAGACGCTTTCGCCGTCTGTTCGACGTTCTGGAGCGCTTCCACGAGAATCGTACGTCTTGGGCTGCATTGAACATCCTCGAGAAGTTCAAGATCGAAACCTCGAACATTGGTTCCCGTAAGTCGCTGAAATCGACGCGCTCAGGTTGACTACTCATTGGACTCATGGGCGGCAAAGCAAAACAATGCGGCCCCCTCAGCAAGGGGAACAAGATCCGTCGGTGAACGCTCTTAGTGCGATAACTCTCCAGAAAATCGCAGTCTTCGATACCCGCAAGTGCTTCCGCTCGGGCTGAGACCCCATTGATGTCCCGATTTGACTGTTTTCAGCAAACTTATTGTCATTGAAAATAGACGCGCAGCTCTGTTTGGTTGGTTGACGCGGAATGATACGACGATCCTAGCAAACTAAAGAGCGAGTAGCCAGAGTGAATTGGACCAGTGTGTCTCTTTATTGGAATTTGTATTGCATCCAAAATTCTAAATGTGAGTGTCAGTGGTGGGAAAAGTGTTTCTCGACGAATTGCAAAGTCTCAACTTGAAACGGTATCCGTTGGTACCCCCGTCGCATGACGATGTGTTCTAGAGATGCGCACAAAACGAGGCCTATGGCGGACCACCGATCGGAGACGCAAAACAAATGTTCAATCTAAACCAATGCTCCGAACACTCAGTCAGTTCGACTCTCTTCATCGAACTGAGCAAAATGATGTCAAACACGCCGGGTATCTAGTGGCATGCCTAGCGCTAAGGCTCTGGCGTCCCTTGACTTGCGATGGCGGGAACACTACGGTGTGCGGACCACGTGCTTGACATCTCGAGCGCTCGCGAAACTCGTGTTCTGAGCTCGTTCCACGTGAATGTGCGACCTGGAAATCAGTATACGATGTAATGCTACACGATAATAGAGTGAAGCCCATTGGCGGGCATTGCGTAGTGGCTACTCCGTCGCAACGGTTCGGCATGGCTATCACATGGTGTCCTATTTGGATTTTGAAGGGCTCTCCTCGGCTAAACAATCGACGATTTCGACGAGAGTTTTCATATTTCTTTTTGTTATCCTCGGATCTCTCCGTCACACTACTCGGTATTCGGAGAAATGAGGCTATGTTTTTGACATGAACTTGTCACACTGACGGACTAAAGCGCGTCTTCGGGGTCGGGTCCGCAAGCGGCGTGTCCCATTCTCGGATGTTATAGTATGCCAAAAGCACTATCGCAGTAAGGTTTTCTAGTGACCAATCTTTCGCGAAGCTCGTGCGCAAGTGTCTCCATGCGAGACTATCTTCCGCGGCATAGGCTCAGTGTGAGAAGCGCTCGGTGACTACGGTCCGGATAAAGAGCTTGCGTACAGATAGTAGCACTTATGCTGTTTGGGAAGTGCCGGGGCTGTCGGCTCCAGCCGCGCAGTCTTTAGCTTTGTTCGCGGCTTCCCTATTAGTCAGTGGGGACTATCGGCTTCTTCTGGTGATGTGCTGGTTCCTCTATGAGGGATATTCCGTGTTTAGAGGGGCGCGCGTGCCCATGCTCGGTCGCGGTCACTGGAGCTGTCGGGAGAGCTCTCAGGTACCGAGGAGAAGGTAACCAATCTTCATGAATAACGCAGGCAGACGATCATACCACGAGAAGATTTTCCTTCATTCACACATATCCGCGATGACTTCTTACGGGATTAGGAAGTACCGAACGAGAACCGAGTCTCGCGAGTGCTTGTCGGTGGATTTTTGCTCTGCCTCGTTTGGCGTTCCCAACGAATGCGCCCGTTTTATTCCCCCTTCGGCTTCCATGCTGTCAGATGATTCTCTGTACTTCATTCTGTCGGATGATTCACCTTTTGGAGAGACCGCGCGGAAAGTCGTCCCAGGGCGCGGAGATGAGCGCCTTCAGGATTCAGTTTGAATGAAGCCCACAGACTATTCTTGATATCCAGGCCAGGAGGAGGAGGGGGTAGGGGTGTTCCCTGCGCTCTGTACGCTGCGAGATTTGAAATCTAATTGAAACATTCCCCACCAACAGCATGGCAGAAGCGAACAGTCTGACGGGCGTGACAGACTTCCTAAACGAGGACGACGACTCAGCCGCCGCTGCTGCTGCTGCCGCCGCCACTACCGCTGCTGCCTCCACCGACGAAACCACCAGCACCACTGCCGCCGCTGCCGCCGCCGCAGCGACAACAGTCACTCGCTCTCCTGACTACCAGAAACTGATTGGGCATGGGCTTCATCAGGTTGTGGCCACTCAACTCGACGACATTTTCAAAACCGGGAAGCTTTCCTATTCCGACCTGGATGAAAGAGCTTTGGATGCATTGAAAGAGTTCCCGCAAGAGGGTGCCCTCGCTGTCTTGAAACAGTTTCTCGATTCTTCACTTGAACACGTCTCGAACAAGTCCGCTTTCCTCTGTGGGGTGATGAAAACTTATCGGCAAAAGAGCAAAATGCCAAATGTTACAACAGAGAACGCTGTCAAAGGTCCCGACCAGGACAAAATCAAGGCGATTCTCGACAGAACGGGCTATGCTCTCGACGTTACTACTGGACAGAGAAAGTACGGAGGTCCTCCACCGGATTTCGATGGACCGACACCAGCTGCTGGTTGCGAAGTGTTCGTTGGGAAGATCCCCAAGGACATGTTTGAAGACGAACTCATTCCTCTTTTCGAGAAGTGTGGAAAAATATACGATCTGCGACTGATGATGGATCCGCTCACTGGGCTGAACCGGGGCTACGCGTTCATCACATTCTGCGAGAAACAGGTTCGTGTCTGCATCATTCATCCACCTGGTCATCCATCCATCCGTCATCCGCATGGTGTCGTGTCAACCTTCAAATGCTGCCTGATCCGGGTTCTTCGCTGCTCTCTGTTTCTAGCGGAACCCTAATTGATTTTTCTCGATTTCAGGGGGCACAAGAGGCGGTAAACATGTTTGACAACCACGAGATCAGGAAGGGCAAGCACATCGGAGTGACTATTTCTATCAACAACCATCGTCTGTTCGTCGGTAACATACCCAAAAACCGAGGACGCGACGAGTTGTTGGAGGAATTCACCAAACACGCCCCGGGTTTGACCGACGTTATCATTTACACGTCGCCCGACGATAAGAAGAAGAATCGCGGCTTCTGCTTCTTGGAATACGAGTCTCACAAAGCTGCCTCTTTAGCGAAACGTCGTTTATCTACCGGGAGGATCAAGGTTTGGGGGTGTGACATCATCGTTGATTGGGCTGATCCCCAGGAGGAACCCGACTCCGAGACAATGTCCAAGGTGAAGGTGTTATACGTCCGTAACCTGACTCAGGAAGTAACCGAAGAGAAACTCAAAGAGGTGTTCGAGGAATTCGGCGGCAGAGTGGAGAGAGTTAAAAAAATCCGAGACTATGCGTTTGTGCATTTTGAGGATCGCGAGGACGCCTTGAGGGCTCTCGAAAAGAACAACAATCGCGAGGTAAGCGACATGATTCCATCCGGGAAAGAACTGCTCTGACCTACCCAGATGAGGCTCAGCTATTATCACCTTCCTCCATGTTCAGTTTTATTCGTTTGCAAACAAGTCTTGGGTCCTAATCCGCATCAACGCTCCTAGTTGCAGGCCGGTGGCGCTCCGATGGAAGTCTCCCTAGCCAAACCGCCGTCGGATAAGAAAAAGCGTGAGGAGATCCTCCGTAACCGTGAGCGTCGTATCATGCAGATGCTGCATTCGCGAGCAATGTTCGGCAACGACTACAGAATGCATTTGCTACCGCCGGCACACATCCTCCGAGGCGGAAACGGTGGCGGTCCCCGCGGCAGAGCCCCGCTCCCGATCAGACCTTACGGTGGAGGTGAGTGGAATCGTATCGTTGGATGAGAGGAAGGGGAACCGAGTTCCGAAATCTTCACCCCGGCTGTACTATCTGCGGGATCTTTTCGCTAATCCTGCTTGTCTTGACGGTTTTCGGTTGCTCGACATCGCCTGCTACTAACATCGGGTGGTTCTTCACAGATTTCTACAACTACGGTGGCTACAATGGAGGCAACGGCTACGGGCCTGGCGCCGAATTCTACGATGATTATTATAACTATCCCGATTACTATGATTATTCGACGTCGCATGGTGGTCGGGGTAGAGGCAATGATGGCCGCGTTCGTAAGTCTAACAATGGAAACAGCCAAATCCATCAACAGCAGAATCAAATTTCCAAGGCCAAAGGCCAACCTTCGAGTTGATTCGAAGGCTACCATGTGGGAGGTTTTCCACTCTACGGAGGTATCTCAAGCTCGCTGGGAGTGCGCGTCAACAGAGGCGGTTGGCTCCGCTCCCCACGCTGGAGCTACGATTAAGTATCTCTCCGAACGCTGATGTCGCGTCGACATGACATCTAGCGCGCCTTCCATCATCTCAATGTGCGAAAACAGAGCGCCCCTCTCCCTCCCTACCTCCCACATCCGCCATCATTGACCACTTCGTGGTTGGGGCCGTGCGAACCGGTAACTGCAGAAGGGTTCAGGCGCACCGTTGGCCTCTTATAAATATCATCTCTGTATATTACGACTGTTTTCGAAACCTCACTCAAAGGCTCCTACGGGAACGACGGTCGGAGACCTCGCCCAAGTCGCTGATGACCCGACCCTCGACGAGGTCTAATTGCGGAGCCCAGCTCACGACGATGCGCGTGCCAAATTTGAGCCCGAAGCCTGGCGCTCCTACGGTATTCCGCGAGGATCGAATCGGGGACTATTCTGAATTTTACATTTTGTGAACATCCGTTCCTTCATCAATCCGACCCATGGGCGTACATTTAATCTCCTTGATCTGGGATCTTGTGATGCGGGAAAACTGCGTCTTGAGTTCTGATCGCTTGTCAGCAACAGGTGCTCTCTATTCAGAGCGACACCACGCGGGGGATGCCGCTCAGTTTTCCAGTGTCGGTATCTTCCACCCATTGTGCGTAGGATCTCAAACATGACTGGGGAACTTTTTCTCACATGACTCCGCTAGACACGCCGGGCTCGGAACGTCCATGGCGAACCCGCGTTTCTCTCCGCCATCGGGGAAATCCTCAAATCGCCATCACCGAGGTCTTCATCGACCTCGGCGGCTGATCAGACTGTACATACATGACGCCCGACTTCGGGACATGGAGTAGCAAAAAAGCTGTCCGGTTAGTGTCTCCCGGGTCCATACCCAGCTCTTATCGAGCGACAGTGGATTTTAGCCATGAATGATTTCGCAGAGCTGGGAGAAATTCCATATACTACTATGATCACTCTCTGATATATAGGCTGGATGTCGGAAGTCGCTCGCTATCCAAGTTTTCGTCTTGAGCGTTGGTCTTGCTCTGACGAAAGGGACGCCTTTGAACAAATGAATTACCATGGTCGCGGGCGGATCCCGGAAGCGTTTGGTTGATCGCTTCCGGCTGGAAAGTCGGAAGGTCCTCTCGCATCGATCCATAACTTTCCTCGCGTACGATTTCGGGAACTCGACCTCGGGACTCGAATCGGTCCACGCTTGAAGGTATCGTGGGAGGAGCCAGGCTGACGAATGAATTATTTGCTGCGGAGGACAGAGAGCGTCGAAAGGCGGAAGTTGATGCGCAATTCGAAGTCGAACCAAATTTTGCGGTTAGGGCCGCTTTGGGCGAGGTCAAGACTATCTCAATCCGTCGATACAAACACTTCAAGATGTCTCTCTCGAACGACGACGAACGGCAGTCCACGCCTTCCGTCGTAGATCAGGCAAGTTGTTCGCGCATTTAAGAAGTGTTGTATTGGAAATCGAGCTTATCAAGCAGAAAGTATCAATGAGTTGTTCAGCTTTCAAAAGATCCCCGATTCCTCTCTCTCTGATTATTTGACCTTCGTGACTTCATCCTCGCGAGACTCGGTTGTCTGTTCATGGAGTACTTTTTGTTGAAAAAAACGGGTTTCCTCGAAGCCTATGTACGGGGGCTCCGATCGAGCCGACGTTTGCCTGCGGAGATGTTCAGTGCTTCTCTGAATTAACCATTGCGTGTTTTTGAATGTTTGACAGACTTACTGAGTCCGTAGACTCTGGGTGCCTTCGAAACGCGCACGAATTCCCATTTTATCCACACCCATGCTCAATCTTCCCGGATGACGAACTAACGTGGGCTTTCTTTGTGCTCTACAGTTGCCCCCGCCATGAGACCCTGGCCCCCAGTGGGTGGTCTAGCGGGAAAACCTTCATTCGAAGCCGTGTCGAGACGGTGCTAATCAGTGGGGACATCGATGAAGAAGAAAATTTGATCAAGAGTCGATTTTTCGACCGGAGAATCAGCGCAGCAGGAAAGCGATCCGCGACGAGTGGAGGTGGAAGGAAAACAGCTCAACTCTGAACATCATCACAGTTGCAGTACATTAATTCGTCTGGATGAAATTCTTCCGATTCTCGCCCGGACATCTTTTCGTCGATCACCTGCATCGAAAACTTCCATCTTGACCGGCGCTTCGCATCAATCTCAACGCTGCTCATGAATCTTCATCAGAAGTTCGCCGGCGAGAGAACCAGAGTGCGTTCTGCGTCAGTCAATCGATTCGACTTTGATAAGGAGCAAGAAATCACTTCACCCGGAGCTCGCGCAGATCGCTGAGAGAGCAGTTCTGCGCGCGTACCGAGAATGGAAGATATCGTGAACGGAGAGAGACATCTTGGAAATCTGAGAGGGGCTTCCGTGTACAGTACGTGGCGATATCGTGTACAGTATGTTCACTATGCTCCTTCTACCATTCTATCTCGATTCTCGTCTAAATAATCTTTCTGTCCAATCGGGGGTGACGCAGTGAAGCCAATGGTAACAGGAGATTTCATCGTCTCTTCTCGACTGGAATGTCGGCCATCCGCCCATTGTGGTTATTCTGTTGGAGCCTTCTGTCTCGACCAGGTCACCGTTTTTCTTGCGTTCATCTCTCGAAATTTCCTCCTCTAATATCTCTTGTGTCGTTCTTGTTTCTGCCACGCGGGCTTGGAGCTCAGAGCCGCCCTTTTCTCGACGTATTCCCTCTCCGCCGCCTTTCTGAGTGGAAACGGTTTCATTGGCATTTTTCCATACCATTAAACCACTACATATTATTATCACTTGCGTAGGTATAAAAATGACAAGCTGAATACAACGACAAGAAGAATGCAAGAAAACAAGAGACTTTATGCAAATACATAGCGTAGGGGCTACATGCGAAGCTTTGTTAGTGAAAGATGTAAGAAGAAGACGGCGCGACATAAAAATGATGATGGACACGAGGGATCCATCAATCGACAAGTGCAGCAGAAAGCAGTTGTAAGACTTTCGGGACAGCAGCTGGATCACTTCACGCCACGTTCACTCACACGTTTGCGGAAAAACCTTAGCGAGCTGGTCACACGTCGCCCATTTAGAATGCGTCATATGAGGATAGCAACAAGCAAGAACGGAAACCTAAAGAGACAAAAGATATATCAGCGAACGCTGATCGAAGAGACCGAAGACGAGTGAAGATTAACGAGCTCGACTTCATCTCTGAAAGCGTTCCGATCTGGCCATGGGGCAACACCAACGAACCCATGCTTCGGAGTATGTTCTGTGCTTCCAGCCTTGTCATCTCTGATTGGCAGCCTAAACGCGGGGAGAAGAAAACATCGTACTTCTAATCTCTATCCTCGTCCCTCGACCCCCCCCCTAAAATGAAATACTAGATATCACTGACGGAACGAACATGACGAATCAGAATATGAAAGAGAGGTCGAGCACTTCATAAAACTCGACCGAGAGCCTAAATCAGAAACCAAAGACCCGCGCCCGCAGCTCCCTCCTTCATCGAGCGATAGATCCGCGCTTTCGATTGAGCACTGAGACCGTTCACTCGGCGAGCGTTTCTCGTATCAACCGGCACTGTACCCTCCATCAATTCGATCGTGCACCGATTCATTGATTCCCGTGGCTTGTACGAAGTTGGCTGAATGAAATCCGCTTTGTGTGCATCTGCTTCCGAAGTGCGAATGTTCGCGAACCCGCGTCCAGTTTAAATGACTTGTCAAAATCCCCGGATTCGCACATGAAGTGAATATGGAAGAACCTCCCTTGGTACCGGTCTGAACGACGCGCCGTCGCTAGAAACCCCCCGAGATCACTGACTTTGTTGAGAATCGCGGAGGGAATCTAAGTGCGTTCAATTGTTCTCGAAGGTGTGCGAAAAAAGGCAGCTCGTCGTTCCCTTGAAGACGGCATGCCATCGCTTCGATACGATGTTCACTGCGGCGATGGGACTCTCTTGATTGGAAGGAGGAGAAATTACGATCAATGAGCGAATTGCTGATTCTCTTCATGACTGACGAGTATCTGTCTATCTATCTACCTACCTATCTATCCATCTCATAAAATACTGAATGAGACCTTATACTTTTTTTGCTCTCATTTATTCATACTGAAAAGGATATATGATAAGACAAGGGGAAAAAATATTGATATCAGGTATGATGAACTTTAGTTCTTCTCGTCGTACGGTCCGAACTTAATGTGACGATATTATCATATAATTGAAGGAGCATGAATATAATCAATCATTACATTACCCGAAAACATTATGATTACGACGACGAACGAAATGAATAACTTGGAGATGAAAACCACGACGGAAGATGATGAGAGACGGAACATGAAGAAACAGAACAGCCAATGGATCGATGAGAAGCCTCTCGCGCCAGTGACCATTGATTTAACGATTCATTAATGTGTCGAAAACTGGGCAGAAGGGGAGGCAAAGCTTAGAGCTAACTGTATCCGGGATTTGAGCTCGAAACTCATGTACCATCTCCAACACTAAGAACAAGCTCGCATGAGAGATTCAATGAATGAAACATGATCCAACAAGGCAAAATATCCAATGGATTGCCCCCTCTGGCCGCCTCTTCACCTTCAGCGGATCGAAGCTCACTGCATTCGACCGGCTTAATTGCCAGACAGATCATGTGCGTGTATGTTTGCGCGTTTGAGTGAAGGGCTCCAGTTAATCAGGGGATGTACATTATATCTTCTCGAAGAGAGACAAGACATTGGAAAACGGGCCGATTCTTCCGTGGAAAGCTGGAGGGAGCCATTAGACCAATTCTCATACTGATGCAACTCTACTGGAAAACATCCGTTGTAGGAGGTTCACGCTCGAGACTCTGTTCGCCCTCTGACTGAGTTAACGTAGCACAGTGACGATGTCGACCATGATTTTGATGTATCATATCTCGGCACGCCTGTACTATCCGGATAATCTGTGAGTGGGTGTCTTGAGAAAAAGTGATAATCTTGCCTCGGAAGACCCGGCGAACCAGGAATCGAGCGGCCCGATGTTCCGATTATTTGTATAAAGATTATTGTGTGTGCTCATGAAACTGAATAAACAACATAATTCTTGCATAGAATGTTTTTTTCCTGCTTCGGACCCTGCATGACCATGCATGTGCTGATCAATTTCTACTCCCAATAAAGAGCCACTCTCATCCTCCGGGTTCATAAGGAAAGTTCGCTCTGGAGCTTGTATGAATGAGACTGTGGAGAGGTGCTGACTCAGCGGGATTTATTCAGGAAAAGTATGATCCATGTGATCTACTGAGATAGGAAAATTTGGGATGGGATGATCGATTTTCTTCGACGATCAAGGCGGTCCGGAAGCCGTCAAGACGTTTTATCGTCTCACTCAGGTGCTGTGGGATCGAAGCCTGCAGCTTTCATTTTACAGGCCGTTTCGAAGAGGTAATCGAGACATTCGGCATGGGTTTTCGCTTTCTGCCACGTATCTCCCCATACGTAGAGTCCGTGTCGGCGCACCAGAACAGCACACGCTGCGGGATAGTCGCTCATGGCTCTCGTCAGCGACTCCGTTAGATCTTTCTCGAAACATGTGTTTTCTATGATTGGGATGACCAATTTTTCATCGTATCGATAAGCTCGCTGATCGACCGCATTTCGCAGTCCCTGCAATAGAATACCACTGAGTTCTAGATCCAGCGTTCGCAAGCATCTTCGTAACACGATTTTCTTGCCAGGGAAGCTCTCCGTTGCCCGATGTCTCGAGGCACGTCATCTGCGAGCAATAGGCCTCTTGGTCGCCCGAGCCGGTATCAAGTCATGATCGAATCGAGGGCCCTCGAAACTGTGCCGCTCACGGATCGGGACTGGTTCCCGTCGACTGCCTGGAATTTCGGGACAAGCGGGTTTTTCCATAGAGTCGGTTGCACTGACCTTGATCATTTCCATGTGCGTGACAACAAACTCTTTCCCCGGATACATCAGAGTCGCCATGAAGGCATTTTGTGAGTGGCTGTGTATAACGGCACCCGCACCGCGCAGCCTGAAGGCGCTCATGAAGAGTGGATAGCACTCGGTGCATTTCAAGCCTTCCGGCTCGAAACGGAAAGCTCCTGAGGAGGTAGAATGACTGGATCAGCGCGCCGAGACTTCGACCTCGAGCATGATGAGAAGAATTTATTCGAAGTTTCACACTATTTCTGGCTCACCAGTCGGGAAGTCGACGATAAAGACCTCATCAGTTTTGATGCGTTCCTTCTGCACACCTGATGGAGCCAGGAATATCGAATCTCTTCGTTCAAGAACAGCAGCGCATGGAAAAGAGCATCGCTCGGTCAAGCGAAGCTCGCAACCGAGTCTTCTAAGGAGGTGTAGTCTTCGCGAATACTATGCTTCCTCTCTTCAACAGTCTCACCCTTTCTTAACCGAGACTCCTCCACCGGTTCCGGTGACCCAACCAAGCTTATAGAAGTCCTTGCATAGTGAAGCGACAAGCTCCCGTGGATCCTCATCCTGAGGAAGAGTTTTAAGTTCGAACGCTTCACTCGGAACTCCGCACGGGTTCCCGACGCAACCGAGAGCCGTCAGCAATAGCAGAGGCTCGAAGAAAGCACGCCGGAGAACCTCACTTCCGCGCTCTTTTCCACCATGAATCCTGTGACTCCTGTACTCACAAGTAAACATTCTTTTTTGAAAATGACAATCACCAGGTTTGACATGCTTTTCTGAAAGTTTCCGAGCCCCGAAGCAACCCCGAGTCGTTTTTCCCTGCTGTCCTGCACTTCATACCCCTTCCCTGCAGGCTCCGAAACCCGGAAAAAACACCATTTACATCGAAATCCGGGATATTTGTTCGGATATCAATGGGAATGAGTCTTTCCGGGCTTCGGAACCTGGGGAAAAACATTTCCATCAAAATCCGAGAAAAATATCCCGGATTTCAATGTGAATGGTGTTTTTTCCGGGTTTCGGAGCCTGCAGGGAAGGGGTATGAAATGCAGGACAGCAGGGAAAAACGACTCGGGGTTGCTTCGGGGCTCGGAAACTTTCAGAAAAGCATGTCAAATCTGGTGATTGTCATTTTCAAAAAAGAATGTTTACTTGTCAATCTTCCCCCAGGTCTTCTATATATAGTACGTACCTTGTGATCAATTGCCATTCCAGCCTTATCGTGAGATACTGTTGCCGCCTCGATCTCAACCTTTTGGGGTGAAGAATGGAACGCCGTCACCATTCAAACTTCCGCGCCCCTCTCCGTCTCCTCAACAGCGGTGTCTCAGCTTGTTTCTCTCTTCAGGAGTAGTCTGCCAGCTTCAACCAGCGGCGGGCAGAGTGAGTGGATGATCACCCATATCGCTAGAGACTAGGGTTCCTATTGACCCACATTTTTTCGGAAGAAACCAGACATGTTTCGGCAACTCCGGAGCCTTGGCCGGACAAAGAACCGGCCACTCGGAAGTTCATGTCGAGAGGAAAATCGGAAGCGTCAGATAATGGAGGAATCCCAAATCGTCACTTAATTCATCAAAAATATCGCAGGTGGACTCTCAGTCAGTCAGATTCAGGGACGTCAGTCCGAGAGCACATTCTTGCTCATGTGGGAAGATCGCCGCATATCGGCATACTAAGCACGTGTTGATGAGCATGTTTCAGGATGGAGTTCTTGATCTAGGAGACAAAAGCTTGTGGAGAGGTTTGCTTTGAGATATGGACCGGAGGGAGAGGGAACATCAAAGCGCTTGGCTTCGCTATCGTCAGCAGAAATCAGAGCTTCGACACACAGCAAGCCGGACGCTTCGGTACTTGACCGTCTCTTCCGTGGGGAATTTTTTGCTCACTCCTTTCTCACCGTCGAGCTCGAGACAGCGATCTTCGTTTCCCGCTAACCATCCACGGGCGAATCTCCCCGGGAATGCCATGAATCGGGGGGATTATCGACAGTATCTTCTGAAAATCGACCCATGACGCCCATCGACGTATTATTCCATGCGCCGCTGAGGAGGATATGCGATGTTCTCGGCCGAAGATTCCCTCCGCAAAGAGTTTAGACGAGCTCAAAGTTCATGACCGAAACACTGCTCTGCCGGCGAAACTCGTCTGTTGACGTTTAGTAGGCAGCCACCGCTTCTTTCAGTGATTTGGGGTCCGGAGTGATCGCGCTCTGCAACGTCTCAAGTCGCAAGCATCCTCCCAGCTTGGTCATTGCTTAGCGGATGTCCGAGCGCTATTGGAAGATGCGTGACACGGAATGCTTCACAAAACCTGGCAAAATCGATGGGGGTGAAGAAGTCTTGCCAAGGTGACAATAGGATCCAATAAGGGGGAGGAGCGTTCCACCAGCTCCGCATATTCTCTCCTCAGCCTGCCGGGCGAAAACACGAAGATCCGGATCCTTCCGCTGGTCGGCGCGCCACCGTGTCGAAATTCAACTCATCGGCTCTCGCGGTGTTTCACTCCCATCTCTTGAAATTCTGGATCGCCTTCGTCCAACCGCACCGCGATCGCCTCATGCGCTCGAGCTAGTAATTCCTCCGAAAGAGAATTTCTCGTCCTAGAGGGGAGCCCTCAGCTCCGAACAAGAGCGCCAGGCAACCGGGAGTAGCTCCACGAAGGTGCTACAAGTTTAGGCGATCGCGACGGACTTATGTATACCCCTGCCTTGAGAAATCCCGGGGCAATGGTATGTCAGGAGTCCCGGTTCTGTGCGCCTAAATTCATATCGTTTGAGTTCTGGGAGCAGGTCCTAGAGAAAAATGGATATGGTCACGAGAGAATGTCGGTCCCGTATGCGAATCATTGAGTGTGAGGTGGATCACAACCCCCTGATGTGTCTCCAATACTGAGACTGTCAGATATCGACCGTGGATTCGGGAGAGGATGACTTAGTCTAGCCCGACGAGTAATGAACTATCTATTCTGGGAGAAAACAAACTCGAGCGGGACATGTGCCAGCTCTCCATTTTATTCTGACCCTCTTCCCGTCCTCGAGCGTATTCTCTTTTTCCTTAGTTTTGCCCGTCGTTCCAGGCCTCCCTCTCCCCGTTCGGCAGAAGTTCTGTCTCCCTGCCTTCCCCTCGGTATATGGAGCATCACTTCGTTTGTCCCTCTCGAGCTCCAGCTCTATATGGGCACGGCGCAATGGCGAATAGCTTTATTTGCGGGTTCTCGCAAGTCGCATTCTCCGGTCTCCTTCTTGATCCCCTTTCCGGAATGCGTTTTCTTCCCCAACGAGGCGCCTAGAGTCGTTTCCCCCCTCCTCAATGTGAGCCTGGGAAATCGACGGGACGATCGAGAAAACCGTACGCGGAGCTCCGAACATTCGATCGGTGGCGGTACGACTTGCTCCAAGTCATGCTTGCTTCCGAGTTGTACCCGGGATGGAATCCTTCTGAGTAGGGGGGAACGTCTTCAACATGAATGACTTGTCCAGTTTCCGGAGTGTGCTGGTCCCAAATTGCTATGGTGATGGTTTTATATTGGTCCAGATGCGCCTTTAGTGTATTTCACAAGTCGACACATCAGGTGCTGTCATGTCAAGTGCTGCTAAGCAGATCCTTGGTCTCCTCCTCCCACTTTCCTAGGATTTGTTTGATGTTCATTACGATCGAAGGGTCCCGTATTTCCTCTCGGAGGCTCAATCTTGAGAGGGAATCTTCGTCCCTATCGCTCTGATGAAACTCGGTCCACTCCTTTCCGCGTTCTGGCTTTTCAGCTCCTACCCCCGATGTTTCAGTCCCTGGGTGTATTTTCACCACACGAACCGATCGCTCCCATCTTAGACATCCGCTGTGGCTCCCGAGCGAAGAGCCCTGAATGCGGCCATCCCTCGGCGGGCCATCTTGTCCCTCCTCCTTGCTCACCCGTCACATGCAGCATGCAGGAATAATGAGGACGAATATGCATGGAAATGTTCAGGACGATAATTGGTATATTTTTCCCTAACGTCCTGATTATGAATTCATGCTACTACAAGGTATTTCTTGAGGTTCCCGAATGGGACGGCGTGTCTGTCGACCCTTGATGTTGCCTAGAGAGTAGAAGAGAGTCGTTCGACTTCGCGAGGGACCGAAAAAATTTCAACGCCATTAGCTGGTGTCTGGTTTCGTTTCCGATTCAATTCCGTTTAAGATCATCTGCAGATTGGCTTTCCGCCCAAAATCTCGACGAGCTCCGTGGACTTCTCCAAAGGCAGCCCATGCTCTTCATTTGGGAATCAAGGCTGAGTACCTGCATACTGTGCTGCCGGCCAAGTATGCAGGTATTCGTGATACTCATCTATGAACAAAAATACGCATTGCATGGATCACACCAGTAGCATATCGAGGATTTTTTTGAGGGGGGGGGGGCAAACTAGGTTTTCGGGGAACCAGAGGTCCAGAATGATGACGCACCCTGTACTCATGCTTCACGAAAAAATAATTCATCCAGGGTGGGGGCAAGGGGGCCATGCCCCCCCCTGGATACGCCTCTGGAACGCACTGCCCGACATGACCCGTGAACCACTGAATGCCGATTCGTAGCTGAAGAGGATTGGTATCCTTATCGTTTGTCAGCTGCTGTCGGCGTAGATCCACGATACTCGCGAAAACAACGAAGAGATCTCGGGAGGCTAAGAGATCGTATCCGTTGCGCCCTGGAGGAGCACGGCAGGTCCTGGAGTAAGGAATGTCTCTTTGATTTCGAGCCAGCGTTCTCGAAATGTGTAGTATGCGCGTGTAAAGCGAACCAGGGCTCTTCCGTGGACAGATGGACTAGTTCAGCGTGAGTTAAGCATAACATTACGGATTCTTGTTGAATTGTTCATGTATCGGAGCTTTCCATTTCGATGGATCGTCAGACGGGGAGAGCGTAGTCCAAATCCAGACGATCTCCCCCGATTCCTAGTCCTTCAAGCTCCTCGAATTCATACACTCAATCATGCATTCCGCCGGGGAACCTCTGAAAATTCATTAGGAGTGAACGCTCAGGAGTAGTGTTCACTGCTCCCTATGGTCGGTTGATGCCTCTCTTTCAGTCTTCACGTCTTCATCCTCGGCGTCGGAGCGATGCTGCGGATGAGGGTTCTGAATCCGTCTTGCATGAGCGTTCAGCGATCCGCGCCCAGGCAGCTCGGCGGCTCGGCTTCAGACATCACATCCGGGTAGGCGATGGTCTCTCGACGACTCCGAAGCCTGAGAATCGCCAAGTGTGCGAGACTCAATGCAGTCGCATACGGGGAGCTCTGATTCATAGTTGTATACCCGTTCGATCGCTGCCCGCTGATTCCCATTTGAAATCTTCCGATGAGGAATATCTCCAGCTCCGCTTTGTTTGAACGGAAATTAGAGGAAGATCAAGAGGCGCCTGTCTCGATCTGCTATTCAACACCCGTTATAAATGGAAACGACTCGAAAAAAGTTTCAGATGAAGCTCTGGGACATGGTCAAATTTTTGCGAAACGCCGTGGCACATTTAGCTTGCTACTAGTCCAATACGCCGAGTCGGCAATAAAAACAATTTAACCGGAGAAACGCCGTGGAGGAGACTTATAGACTGAGAGTGATCGAGAGAGTCATCGTCGCGTTGTCTGCGATGGCTTGCATAAGTAGCACTCAATCAAAGCTCGTTCTCGATCATCGGAGCATCTGAAGGTGATCCTACGGCTCCGAAATTCCTTCCGCTTTAATATTCAAGGCTCACGGCCTGAGTGTTTGTGGGCGGGAACATCGAAGGTCAGCTGTGAGATCTATCTTCGTAATGTCAAAACTCATGCATGACCCCTAAGGGACTCCGAGAGAGAGCCTCAGAGCCTTCATTCTGGATTCCACGGATTCGGACGGGATCGCTGGGCGTATCGACGGGGACTGCGGTCAATTCCTGATTCTTGCGCTCTGGTTTGATATCTCGCTTGCCTATGCGGCACCCCCGACTCTGCGCTCGAAGCTCGACTTCAAGAGAGCTGATTATGAGTCGATCGGATGCACTCTGGCAGCGACTGACTGGAAATTATTTTTCTCTGGCTGCTCCAATGTGGATGGTTTGTACACCCACTTGTTGGAGGAGCTATACCTCTTGTGCTCTCTTCACGCTCCGCCCTGGCAGAGTCGGGGTTCGGCGGTCGACCGGCACGTCGGGCTGCTTGCTGAGCGACTCGCCACTGCTCCCCCGGCCGAACAAGAGCGACTCCAACGTCGGCTAGTCAAGGCATCCCGCCGCCAACGGATTCTTCAGGAGTCGA